TAGAGGCTTGACCCCTTCCTATGACCCTACCTTTTGGGCTTTATTTAATTCTCTTCTGCAATGGGGGAATGACAAAATCAATCAGCTGCTTTTCAGTTGATTCTTAGGAATGTTCTAAACCCAGTTTTTATTTTGGCACAAAGCCATTTGCGTTCTCCCTGCCAGCTAAGTTTGGCACTGTTGTGATCTTGGAAATGAATGATTCTTCTGCTTACTTAAAAGTAAACATTTTTATTCCCTTTCAATTTTAGAAGAGCTTTTATGTTTTTCTGTACTCCTACTCATCCCATTTATTTTGCTATCAGACTTATGCTGACATAAAAAACATGCTAACGTGGTTTGGGTTTAATTGAACTCTGAAATTCCATCAGTAATGTGTGGCTTAGTCACCTGCAACAGGATCCCACTTTTGAAGGCTGTTTCTTTAGCTAACAAAACCCCAAGTTCTCATCAGTTAGTACAGAAGGTATTAGTGACTCCCCTCATTGGTGCCAAGTAGTGTAAGTTTCAGCAGGCTTTCTGCTGCCCTTTCCAGCCAAGCACTGGGGAAGTTTCTAGACCCGGTGGAGTCTTCTATTTTCTGAGCCCTGTTTTCTAAGATCTAGCTACTGTAATTACTTGGGGGAGTCAATTTTTTTTTCCTTAAAGAAGCAGATACTTTATTTTTATAGCCTCAATTGAAAAACAGTATTTAAATTTTGGGGCCAGAGCCACAGTACAGCAGATGGTGTGTGTGCATCTTGCACATAGCCAACCTAGGTTTGATCTCTGGCACCACATATGATCCCCTGAACAGGTGTAACCCCAAAACCAAAATCCACTTCCCCTCCCCCCCAAATCACCCCAAAGCCCCAAACCATTATTTAACTTTATTTCTGACCCCTCATCCACTTCCAAGCTTCTTTGTTGCTGTTGTCTTGGATCTCACATTCACTTGGCTACGGAGGTACTCATCTCTTTGCTGTGTTGCTCACTGGGAATTGCATACTAGATTGAGATGCTCTCACATTTAACTTCAGTGCTCACTGAGGTCTGCATTCTTTTGTTGCAGTGCTTGCACACTTACTTGCTGGGGTGAACATTTAGTTGGGGGATACTAGTAATGAACTCGGAAACTTCAACCCCTCCCCCCCCCCCCCCCCCCCCCCCCCCACACACACACACACATGCACGCACCTCTCCTTGGGGATCTCCGCAGTATTCAGACAATTGCTTGCCAGAGAGTGAATTTCCTGGCCATGTCACTCATGCATCTTTTTAGATGTGTTTTCTGGGCGAGAGGGGATGTCGCACCCCTCTTTGTGGTAGTCACCCATGCCTGTCTGTGTGTGATAGGAAATTGCTGTGGGGCCAGGGATTATAGCTGGGCCATGAGGCTCAATAGAAAAGCTTTGGGAACCGCCTTCAGCGCATGTGGCATTTGAGCTTACGACTATATGCTTGCAAGGCCAGTGCTCTTAAGCCACTTTGCTGTTTCTCTGGGGACTCTATTATATTTATTTATTTGCTTTTTGGGTCACACCCTGTGATGCACAGGGGTTACTCCTGGTTCTGCACTCAGGAATTACCCCTGGCGGTGCTCAGGGGACCATATGGGATGCTGGGAGTTGAAGGGAATTGAACTTGGGTCGGCTGCGTGCAAGGCAAACGCCCTTCCAGCTGTGCTGTTGCTCCAGCCCCAACTCTATTATATTTAGAGAGCAATCTTTCATCTTTCTTGCTTCTTCTCTGTCTCCCTATCCTCCTTCCTATGTTTACTTTCCACTTCGGGACATACACAAATCAGGGCATAAGCACACACTGAAATATAATTTGGGAAACTGAGCACTCCCTGAGGAGACTGGCCTGTTTATGAAGAGATCTCTTTATGAAGAGATCTTTTTCATTCAGCTCCATATTAAATGAGGGAGTTTGATTGGAGTGTCTTTATGGATTCAAATTCTTATGTTAGAAGGAAAGGAGACATTATTTGGGGAACGTGATTTTTTTTTTTTGTCGGGGGGGTGCACTTGGTGGTGCTCTGGGTATCATGCAGTGCCAGGTATCAAACCTGGGCCTCCCGCAGATCAAGCACTTAGAGCCATCTCTCTACCTGACATGATAAAGTATTTAAGAATATAGACCTTGGATCCAGGCTTTCCTGGGCTCCATCATTCAGTAATTCTGTGACCTTGGGGAAATTAATCTCTTAGTTCCTAGTTTCTTTATCTGTAAAATACTGTATCACTGAGGGACTAGAGTGATAGAACAGTGGGTAGGGCATTTGCCTTGCACGCAGCCGACCTGGGTTCGATTCCCAGCATCCCATATGGTCCCCTGAGCACCGCTAGGAGTAATTCCTGAGTGCATGAGCCAGGAGTAACCCCTGTGCAACACCGGATGTGACCCAAAAAGAAAAATAATATACTGTATCACTGTATCACTGTCATCCTGTTATTCATCTATTTACTCGAGCGGACACCAGTAACGTCTCTGTTCATCCCAGCCCTGAAATTTTAGCAGCCTTTCCTTGCTCATCCTTCCCAACATTACACACCGAGTAGAAGTAATGCCATTAAACTAAAATATACTAACATTTGCAAGAATCTTATTTTCTGAGATGCTTAATGTGAAAAAATATACATCTTAAAGTTGATTTAATAGTAATGTTTACCCTCATTGGATTATTGTAAGGATTAAGTGGCTCCACATGTAATTTTTAGGGGTGGGAGTAGTTTGGGCCACAGCAATTGGTATTTGAGGGAGACTTTAAAAAAAATGTAGTCATCATGAAACCACAAAGTTATTCATGGTTGGGTTTCAGGCATACGGTGTTTCAATAACAGATCCCTTCACCAGTGTTCACTTCTCTCTGCCAATGCCCTTTTCCCCCATTTGCCTTCCACTGGCCAGTCTACTATGAGAAGCTCTTTTTTAGTTCTCGTGCTGTGGTTTACATTACTGTTGCTGATAGGGTCTCATACAAAACACTTGACCACCTCTCAGTATCATCTCTCAGTTGAGGGCTGCTTCTGGCTCTGGTTGGAGTTGTTTCTTGCGGTGATCTTGGACTGTGTGGTCCATTGCGCATAGTCAGCCTATATGGCATATGATTATTAATATTAGTGATAATGTTAATACTTTTTTGAACTCATCTCAATTTCAGTTATGATTTGAAGATGCTGTTTATACACACTGTCCCACATAGATAAGTATGTACTTTTGCCTTTATGGCTAGGACAGTATACTTAGCTTTGCCACCAGACTGCCAGGTTCAGGTTCTAATTGTCCACTTATTAACCTTGACTTTGGACAAATTACCTAATCTTTCTTTGTTTTCCTCTTCTATAAATGGGAATTTAATTTTGCCTTAGATTTGTTTAAATATATATACATGTGTATGTATAAGTTTATAGTATTTACTTCTTCAATCCCCAGAATTAGGCATCTCAGTTGGAGCACTAATGAAAATGAATAAATTACAGAGGTCAAGGTTTTTACCCCATCTGTTTTTGTATTGGGATACTCAAGGGTTACTCCCTGCTCTGTGCTTGGGGATTGAACCCTGGGTCTCCTGCATGTAAATCTCTCTCTCTCTCTCTCTCTCTCTCTCTCTCTCTCTCTCTCTCTCCAGCGTTAGAGTTCAAAGTTTTGATGTAATAGTTGTAGTAATTTTAATAATAGTGCTTACTATAAACTAAGCACTAGTTGGGACCTTAATATTTGAACATCATGATCATGATAAGTGCCATTGCTATTAACCTTTTCACACTTTAAAAAAAATCTGTGCAGGCGTGTATATGCTGCCCAAGCCTTTGTGCTGTTTGTGCCTGTGTGGCCAACTGCATGCAGTGCCTGAGCACATGTGTCGCCCGTATCTCCGCTCTTGAGATGTGTATTTTATGCTTTCCTATCTAATGCTGGGATGTATTTAGGGGCTCTCTCTGCTCCGGAGAAGCCCGTGTTCTCTCTTGATCCCGTTTCTCTCTCTCTCTCTCTCTCTCTCTCTCTCTCTCTCTCTCTCTCTCTCTCTCCCCTTCTCTCATTCTCTCCCCCTCCACACTTTCAAAAAACCTTCCAAATAAGTCTATTTTACTTAAAAAAAAAATCTTTACAATAGGTATTTTGGGCCACACCTAGCTGTATTCAGGAGCTACTTCTGACTCTGTGCCCAGAGGTCACTGCCACCTGACTTTGGGGAGACCATCTGCAGTGCTGAGGATAAAACCTGGGTCAGATTCATGCAAGCAGGGCAATCTCTGACAGTAGGAATTCTTATTAAGAACCTGAGGCACTAAGAGATTAAGTAACTGCTGTAGCTCTTAACTGATGGAACTATGCTTGAATCCTAATTAATAGGTTGGAGCTATATTTGTGCTATCAACTACTGTCTCTGCAGAAGGCATTTCTGTCACAAAAGGAAATTTAATGACCAGGCCATTCATCCACACTGTAAGAGAGTCAGTCTGTGAACCATTATCCATGATTTCAAAATTTAGAAAGCTCTAAAACTAAAAATTGTTTTCTGAGTTTGATATAAACTTATTTATTGGCAAGACTGGAACTGATCTAAGTATTTAAACTTTTATTTAGATTGTAGCATATATGCACAGGAAAGCCTGGCAAGCTACCTGCGACGTATTTGATATGCCAAACAGTAACAATAAGTCTTGCAGTGGATACGTTACTGGGCCCGTTCGAGCAAATAGATGAACAACGGGAGGACACTACTACAGTACTACATATATGACTGCTTATGTTTTGTTCCACATTATTAGTTTTTAGAATTATTATATTTATAATTAATAATGTTTTAGAGTTGTTAATGTTTAAGAATTATTAATGGGAGTGGGAAAAATTCTGTATTCCAAAGCTTCTCTGGTTCCAAGAGTTCTGGTTGATAGATTTTATACCGGAAAATGTTTTAGTCTCATAAATCAATGAACTTGAAACTAAAAATTTCAGTTAGCCTAGTTTTCCCAAATGCTTATTTTTAAATCTACTACTTTTGTTTTTGCTAGAGCACCTGAAATTGTTCTTGGATTGCCATTTTGTGAAGCTATTGATATGTGGTCATTGGGCTGTGTGATAGCCGAGCTGTTTCTGGGATGGCCACTTTATCCTGGTGCTTCAGAATATGATCAGGTAAGTGTCTTCACGTGAATAGAAATAGAAAGCAAGAAATTACTAGTGAAGTAGTTTGAGATGAAATGGATTATACTAGTGAAGCATTTAAATAGTAAGGAATGAATTGAAATTTCTCTGCCTGCTTCATAAAATTGTCTTTGAAGTCCTACAATTAAAAATGATTTAAAAAACTCTGCTTTGGGGAAGGTTGGGACCACCTTTGGCAGTGGTTGACTTACTCCTGGCTCTGTTCAGGCTTCACTTCTGACAGCGCTGGAGGTACTATGTGTGGTGCTGGGTTAGAACCCAGTAGGCTGCGTGCAAAGCAAACACCCTGCCATTGTGTTCTCTCTCCAGCCTTACAGCTAGACTTTATGGTAGATGCTTGTGAGTCTGAAGTTAAATGTGTATATTCTCTAGATAATTTGATTTCAGATTTGTTGTACAGATTCATATTTAATTTGTATTCTTTTTTTCTCCTTTTCATTTCCCCTTTACCTCCAGTGTTGCTGCTGTTGATATAGTTATTGTTGCAGTGACTGGGGGTCGCTGGGCTCACATCTTTTTGAGCTGTGGTGCTTGCTAGTGACCCTACATTAGGTTGTTGTGGTTGAACACTGCAGAGGTGCTCTCTGAGGTCTGCACTCTGTCCTTGTAGAGTTTGCCTTCATACTCGCGAGGGCTGCTCACTGTTGATTGTACCTTAGGCAGTGGCACTTGCACAGATTTTAGTGATGTTAGTTGCATCCAGTTTTTTGTGTGTGTGTTGCGTGGACACATGTGGCTAGAAATCTCGGCATCTGGAATCACAGACTGCATGCTGTGATACTCCAGTGGCAGAGCTGCTGGGGTCTTGCTGCATCCTGGACAGGAACGTGAGTGCATGATGGGTGTATCCAGGGCAGGAAGGCGCAAGTGCATGATAACACATTTGCGCAGAGAACTCTCAGCCCCAGTGCTGCTCCTCTGGGCAGGCCCTTGGCTGTTAAATGACAACTTCCTCTAATCCTTTTTGTTTGCATATATGTGAAGAGCGGTTTCTGCTGGTTACTTTCCACCTGTCCTATTAAAAATTTTAAGTCTTTTAATTCTATAAATGCATCATTGTAGAAAAATTAGTGAATGTGTATGTAGTTAAATATAAAAAGAAGGTTGTTGAGAGAATGTATATCATATTTTATGAAATCTTTATGAAATCTCAGACCCCATTGATTGAAAGGTGCTGGGTATTTGGGCCTGGCAGAGGACCACCACTCCGTTATGCTGGAGAGGGAGGGAATGTCGGTGGCAAGAATCGAAGTCAGGGCATGCGAGGCATGTGCTGTCCTCCTTTGGCTATCTCCCAAGCCTTAGCTTATCATTTCAGTTATATGCGTAGTATTTCATAGTGATAAAGTAATATAGGGACAGGAGGGAAAATAGAATGAGATTGGCCCCAAAGAAAATTCCTGGTCTGGGTCTGGGATGTGTGTCCAGGTTATGCAGATGACAGTTCTCACAGATACCTTGCACTTCCCCAACTCCTTTATCTCACCATCTTTGTTCCTTAAACTCAATGCAATGTGCTCACTCTTCCCCCTAGTTAGGAAGATGCAAAAGTTTTTTCACTTTTTCGGGATATCCATCCTTCTTATGGCAATCCTATTTCCCAACCTTCCTATCCTTCTTCACCTTTCTTCAAGTAAGGTTTCTGTGGACTTCAGCCATCTAGTCTTCTGTCCTCTGCTTTCAGTCTTGTTCTTGAGCGCACGAATCTGTATGCACTGTAATAAAAGTATAGATTTCATTTTATTTATTTTATTTTTTTTGCGTCGGGGGCAGTGAGGTTGGACCATACTTGGTGATGCTTAGGGCTTACTCCAGGCTGTGTACTCAGAAATTACTCCTGGTAGTGCTCAGGGGTCCATATGGAATGAATACTGGGGTTTGGTGAGTTGGCTGTGTGCAAGACAAACACCTTACCTGCTGTACTATCATTCCAGTCCCCAATTTCATCTTTGATTAAAAAAATAGTTCACATCTTTTATTTGAAAACGGTGCTTATGTTTAAAGGATTTTAACCAGACTTTTTTTGTTTTGCTGCTGTGTGATTGTCATTTAAGTAGCTCCCAAAGATTTGGACTAATGATCTATTGTTAGCTAAAATTGTCTCATATAACAGGCCAGAGTTGGCTTGTAATTTTTTTTTTTATACTTAGTTGTTGAGGACCCCAAAGAGCTCTGTACATATAGCTTATGTCTATATATATTGCATTAGAAATAAGACTGAAGGGCCCAGGGAGAGAACTCAGCTGGTTAGAGCTCTTGCTTTGCAACCAGGAGGCCCAGGTTTGACTCTTGGCATCACATGTTCCCTCTGCACCACTGGGATTCACCCCTGAGCATTGAGCTGGGAATAACCTCCAGTAGCACTGGGTATAGCTCCAGAGTCGAAAGACTGTTTGGTGAGGAGAGATGGGACTTCAGATGTTTTCATACTTAGATGTTTCCAATTTTATTGTAATTAGAGCTATTCATATATGGAAGGAGAATAGTAAAAAAAAAAAAAAAAAGAAAGAAAAGAAAAAGAAAAAAAAAAAAAGAAAAGGCCCCTTGTATTGCGCTCATAAAGTGGGGGAGAGAAGCACACCACCTCCTTTGTTCCTTTTATGGGTGGAGAAAGTTGCAGAAGCAAGCAGATGTATGAACAACAAAACTGGGACATTTTTAAGATGCAAGAATATACACGCAAATGTTAACTTAGCTGTTAGTGCAGGGATGTTAAAACCTGTCACTTCTGGAAATCTGTACACCCCAGAGAAGAGAATGAAAAGCAAGGCAGATCACTTCTTAATGTTATTAGGAAATTAGGTTTTTCTTCATAGACCTGAAATGGATGATAGGGACCTTTAGTTTCCCAGGACTACACTTTGAAAACTGCTGGCCCCATCAGTAGTAGATGTTCCATGGAAGCTCAATGTAGTACTGTCTTTTAACAGTAGAATTAAAGGGAAAGTGCTTCATTTTGTGGCATGAGACATTGTAACAGTTTAGAAAAGGGATAATTGACAACAACTGGAGTAGCCAAGGGAAAAAAATAGTTGATGGAAGTTTTTATGATCTTTTAAAGTGATACTGTATCAAAAATCAAAACAAACATTGGTTATGCATGAGATGGTTTTTGTTGGAAACTATTTTGTCCTGGAAATGACCTAGTTTTCTGGATTCAGTATTGAAAAGTCTAAAATTATAAGCAAAAGAGGACACGCATAGCATTTTTTCCAAGTGAGTTTTCCTTGTAAATTACAGATAACAGTAACAATGAAGTTAGTGAATAAATATTTGGGAATTAGCTTGTGCATATATTTGCAGATATTTTCAGTCATACATTGATGAGTAGCTAATAAGAGTTTAGTGTAAATATTTCTTGAATAATTTTGCTTTTTACTTCAAATCAGTATTTTGATTTTTCAGATCCGTTACATTTCACAAACCCAGGGCTTGCCGGCTGAATATCTTCTCAGTGCTGGGACAAAAACCACCAGGTTTTTCAACAGAGATCCAAATTTGGGATATCCTCTGTGGAGGCTTAAGGTACATCTCCCTTGTTCCCTTATGCTGTCTCTGCTGTTTCTTGTACTCCTAGCTTTGAATTTAGAATCCAGCTTGAAATTCTGGAGGCTTATGAGGGAAACGAAAGAGAAAACATTTGTTTAGAGGAGGAATACTTTGAAAAGTCCTTCTCTCTCCCCTCCCCTCCCCTCCCCTCCCCTCCCCTCCCCTCCCCTCCCCTCCCCTCTCTCTCTCCTTTCTCATTTATTTTTGTTTTTGGATCATACCCAGGAGTACTCAGGGGTTACTTCTGACTCTGGAATCACTCCTGGCAGGCTCTGGCAACTGTATAGGTGCTGGGAATGGAACCCACTTCGCTGTGTGCAAGGCAAACTACTCACAGTACTATCTTTCCAGTAGTGGCTATTTTAAAGAAAAAAATTTTTTTTGTTTTTTTTTTGTTTGTTTTTTGGGCGGAGCCGGAGCGATAGCATAGTGGGTAGGGTGTTTGTCTTGCACGTGGCCGACCTGGGTTCAATTCCTTCACCCTTCTCAGAGAGCCTGGTAAGCTCCTGAGAGTATTCTGCCTGCACGGCAGAGCCTGCCAAGCTACCTATGAGGTATTTAATATGCCAAAAACACTAAAAAGTCTCACAATGGAGATGTTACTGGTGCCCGCTCGAGCAAATCGATGAACAGCGGGAGGACAGTGCTATCGTGCTACCTGTGAGGTATTCGATATGCCAAAAACAATAACAAGTCTCACAATGGAGACGTTACTGGTGCCCGCTCGAGCAAATTGATGAACAATGGGAGGACAGTGCTATAGTGCTGCAGTTTTTTGGGCCGTACCTGGCAATTCTCAGGGGTTACTCCTGGTTCTGCATTCAGAAATTACTCCTGGCAGTGCTCGAGGTAACCATATGAGATGTGGGGATTGATCCTGATTGGCTACTGTACTGTCTTTCCGACTCCAAAAGAATTCTTAGTATGATAAAACTACATGATTTTCTACAAATGAATACTTTTTCACTACTGAACATCAGAAATAAATCTGAATAATTTGATATACTGCCTCTAAGCTGGTTGATTATCAGTATTTGCATTATCATTTTATTGGCAAGTTGCTTTAAGAGAAGAATGGTAGTCTTTTCATACCTAACGTTCTTTGAGAAATAAGCTGCATTGTAGCTTCCATGTTTACATTATCATTGGTGAAGGGGTGACTAGATAGTAAGGTAATTTCTCTTAACTAAAAGCTTTTCTGGCTGTGTTTTGTCTGGTGGTGACACTTGTTTTTTGGTATTCTTAAATTTAGAATAAAATATGAAAATAACATTCAAGTGAAATTTGAAAAAATGTTTTTTTTGTAGACACCTGAAGAACATGAAATGGAGACTGGAATCAAATCAAAAGAAGCTCGAAAGTACATTTTTAATTGTTTAGATGACATGGCTCAGGTGAGTATAAGAAAGTTTCAGGGGCTCGAGAAATAGTAGAGTGGGTAGGGTGCTTGCTTGTCTTGCATGAGGCTGATTGGTTTTACCGTTGGTACTGCATATAGTCTGCTGAGCACTGCCAGTAGTGATCTCTGAGCACAGAGCCAGGAGTAAGACCCCTGAGCACTGCTGCATTTGGCCTAAAAACCACCAAAAAAAGTTTTGTAAAGCCAGAGATTTCTTTCTTTAATCAGAGGCACCCTTTGGGTTATATTTTAGATTTAATCTGTTATCTTCCATGTTTTTATTTTTGGTAGGAAAAATGTACTAACCAATTTTTTACTATTGGTTCAACAAGTTGGTTGAACAAAGGATACTTTAGGAATTTTATGTCTTTCTTTGCTTTTGCTTATCTGGTTTTGTTTGAATATTTTTGAAATATTGCGTAAGGAATATCATTTTTTGTAGAAAAACTCATCTTTTTTTAAAATTTTTATTAGTGAAACACCATGAGGTAGAGTTGTAGACTTACAAATTTTTGTGCTTGGGTTTCAGTTATACAATAATCGAGTACCCATCCCTCCACCAGTGCCCATTCTCCACCACCACCAGTCCCAGTATCCCTGCCACTCCCCATCCCCCCATCCCAAACTGCCTCTGTGGCAGGGCATTCCCTTTTGTTCTCTTCTCTCTGCATAAGGAATTTTTAAAAATTATTTTTATAAAGTTGTTCATGATGATTTGTTACATTCAGTATACCAACACCAATCCCACCACCATTTCCCCTTCCCACCACTATTATTTTCCATTTTCCCAACCACCATCCAAGCCTACCTCAATAGCTGACTGTAAATAATTTATTTTATATTTCTTGTTATGAATAATTTGCTAAAAAATGATCAAAAAAGGTATCCTTAGAAGAAAATGTGTCATGGAGCCATTAAGCCCTTGTATAAGAGATTACTAACATGTTGTTACAAGTTAAGCCTTGTATGTAATATTTTCTTAATCGAGATTGGTTGCCTTCTACTTTACATCCCATGCAATATGATGTGCTACTTGTGGTATCCTGGCAAGCTCCCTGTGGCGTATTCTGATATGCCAAAAACAGTAACAGCAAGTCTCACAATGGAGACGTTACTGGTGCTTCCTTGAGCAAATTGATGAACAACGGGAGGATAGTGCTACTCCTGGTATATCAGTAGTGTAGAGTTTCACAACCATACACTCCAGAAATTCTAAAATTTTGAATGGGGTGATACAGCTGGAGTTAAATTTTTAACTGGATGGTGACTTTGGGTTCTGGAAGCATCTCTGCAGCTTGTTAATCTCTTGAGATTCATTAAGTGTCTGGATCATGGCCGGTTAATGAGTTTATATGGCGCCAGAGGCGGTTCATGGGCGTGACTGCCAGGCTCCAAAAAGAACAGGGTTATGGGGGGAGGTAGCCCATCCCTGACTCTCTGAGAGCCTGGAGATTTTGGTCACAAAACCCACATACCTGAGTTTTTCAACAGATCAATTTCTGGATGAGGCTTGTCCTGAGCTTTGGTGGATTCCAGCCTTCTGCATGGTGGTGATTGTGGAGTATGAAGGTTTTCAGCTGCTGAGCTCTATTGGGGTGCCCCGGGGTGCCCTTGATGAGACTCAGCCTGGCTCAGGGGGTCCGGAAGCACCTCTAATTAAGGAATGTTTTCTTACTCATTTTCTGAACTAAATGTATAACCACATGTTTACTTTTTATGTTTTAAATTCTTTAAAAACCTTGTATATTGTTAATCTTTTTAGTAATAGTAACTTATAATAGCTGTTACTTTTGATTAACTTGTTTAAACCAAATATTGAACACAGAGAATTTATTTTTCCCTTTTTTATAATTTTATTTATTGAATCACCGTGAGAGCAGTTACACAGCTTTTGAGTTTAAGTCTTGGTCATACAATGAAACACCCGTACCTTCACCAGTGCCCATTCTCCACCACCAAAAACCCTAGTATACCCCCATCCCACACCCTCCCCCTACCTGTGGGGCAGATGATTTCCACATTACTCTCTCTCTCTACTTTGATTACATTTGATATTTTGACACCAGACCCACTATTTGGGATTTTACCCCAACACTAAGATCTTCAGAAAAGGCAACAGTAGACAATTTGTTTTCTATTGCTGGTTATGAATAACATATGATGTCATGTGGCTGCAGTAGTTGCTGCGCAATTTTGAAATTCCAAAATTTTAACAATCAAAGCTGGAGGGATTTCTGGCAAAACCTGCTGGGTTCTGAGATTTGTTCCTGAGTCTCTGGGATCATGGCCATTACACAGCTTGATCAGGAGCCAGAAAGGCAGTTCGTGGGCCACAACTCGGGGTCTCGTTGGGGGGGAGGAAAGGGCCGGCTCCACCCCCATCCCATGAGGCCCCACGTGTCTCATCACTGAGGGCCCAAACCTGACTGTCCAGTGGCCTCTGGAGGATGGTGGCCACTGGGCCTCCAGGAGGAACAGGCCATGGCACAAAACCTATTCCCACCTGGAGTGTCCTAGTGCCCATAACCTACTGCAGGGACTTGACGCATTTCTGCCAAAAGCTGCTGGGTTTCGAGATTTGTTTCTGAGTCTCTGGGATCATGGCCATTAAGCAGCTTTATCAGGAGCCAGAAAGGCCGTTAGTGGGAGGTGACTTGGGGTCTTCTTTGGGTGGGGAGGAAAGGGCCGGCTCCACCCCCAACCCGCGAGGCCCCGCGAACACAGAGGATTTTGTATTCAACTTTATTCTACCACAGATGTTTATCAAATTAAAGTTTTTAATTAGGTGGTGTAAGAGATTCTATCATGAAGATGATTATTCTGAAATAGAAAAAATTATTTTAGATTTTTCTCTTGAACGCTACACTCTATAGTTTGAAAAGAAAGTGGATATTTAGTGACAGAAAGATTGCATTCATCTGGGGAACATAAAGCAACAAAAAGGGAGATTAACACCCAGGAATGGCTGAGATTAGTACCAGGAATTTTGCTCAGTGAATGGAAGGCCAGCCACACTCTCTAGGTGAAAAGGAAGCTCAGATAGAGAAGAGAGTACCAAATGAAGGGTGTTGTGAGGACCCTCCCAGGGTGGGAGAAGCATGCTAAAAGTAGTCGATAGACCAAACATGATTGCCACTCAAAGCCTCTCTTGCAAAACACAGTACCAAAAAGAAGAGAGAGAGAACAAGGGGGAATACCCTGCCACAGAGGCAGGATGGGACGGGGGGGGGAGGGGGAATGAGGGGTGGGAGGGGATGCTGGGACCCGTGGTGATGGATGACGGGCACTGGTGGAGGGATGGGCACTTGATCATTGTATAACTGAAACCCAAGCACAAAATTTGTAAGCCTATAACTGTACCTCATGGTGTTTCACTAATAAAAAAAGAAAAAAAAACCAAAAAATAAATAAACAAATAAATAAAATCAGTTTATATATAAAAAAAAAAGCTAAGTGTATAATACTTCTGAATTTTCTTTGGAAGGTGAATATGTCTACAGACTTAGAGGGAACAGATATGTTGGCCGAGAAGGCAGATCGAAGAGAATACATAGATCTGTTAAAAAAAATGCTAACAATTGATGCAGATAAGAGAATTACTCCTCTGAAAACTCTCAATCATCAGTTTGTGACAATGACTCACCTTCTGGATTTTCCACATAGCAATCAGTGAGTATGATATGGTCTGGGGCATTTTGCCATGACCTAGTTTTCTGTTGAGTTACCATTTTGGAACTGTTGCTAAGCAGTCATTTCAGTGCTTGCATTTTTTGCTCACTGATGATTTTATCATTGAAAAATAATCACAAGATTAAAAATTGGATCTGTATTTTTTTTTTTGGTTATAAAAAGGCTTGGATTATATTTAAAAGTATGTGAGAAAAAAGATGTTGATTTGTTGTTGAATGTTGGTAGTTGTTGAATGTTGATTCATCTTGAGTTACAAGCTATGTATTCTGTTTATTTCAATCAATTTTTAATATCTTTTTTTCAGTGTTAAGTCTTGTTTTCAGAACATGGAGATCTGCAAGCGGAGGGTTCACATGTATGATACAGTGAGTCAGATCAAGAGTCCGTTCACTACACATGTTGCCCCCAATACAAGCACAAATCTAACCATGAGCTTCAGCAACCAGCTCAACACGGTGCACAATCAGGTATTCAGTAAATGATTTTGGAATCTTAAGACTAGGTGGGGTAGTAAAAGCCTAGGGCAAGGCTAGGCTTGTTTTTGGTTGTTTTGTTGCTTTGTAAGATTTTTTTAAAATTAAAGATAAAAATTGGGGTTACTGGGGGGGGGGAAGGGAAATATGTTTTCCCAAGAGTGCTTCGGAAGTCCTTGGGTCTCTCCCAGCGATCCCTGGTTACCCAGGGCAAGCAGTTCAGGGCCTGGACCCAGTAATATGCTGTTAACGCCCCGCAATCTGTGGACTGCCAGTACTACACCCAGAAGTTATTTTGGGAAGAATTAATTTGGGTGAGGGGGCGGGGGGGGGGTATGGGTTTTGGGGACACACCCAGCAGTGTGCTGACTTCGTTCCTGGCTTTGCTTGGGGGGCCCATGCATTGTAGCAGGTCATGAATTCTTGAACCAGAATTTACTACATGCAAAGGAAGTCTCTGTCTCATCAAGAAGAGTATTCTACTTTGCCAAAACAATGGCTAGGGTAGATAGTAGCTACCAGTCGTGTGCTGACTAAATTAAACATAAAAGCTACATCTTTGCCTTTATAGCCCTTAGCATTGTGAAATAAATGAAACCTCATTGTGCTCATTATTGCAGTTGGATTTACCTTTCTTTTTTTTTTTTTACAGTGATGTTTTATTTATTTTTAAAATTTCTTTTACTGAGGCCCCATGATTTACAATAATACCCATAGTCGTTTCCCATGCACATAAATTCCAATACCACACCTGTCACGAATGGATGAATTTGCGAGTTTTCAGGTCTTACGACTTTTGAAACTTGTTGCAAATTACTGTGCAGGAAAGTGATGTGAGTTGTATTTCCCAAGTTGATTTTCCACTGTTTGAGAGTAAGGAAGGGGAAGCACCCACTTCCATACAGTTTCACCTGGGTCAGAAATTTTGGAAAAAAAAATTTGGCCCATGAGCCCCCTGGGGCAGCTGTGTATGGGACATCAGGACCTTGTCCTGTCCCTGTTCCTTCTTTTGGCTCCTCAGCTCCTGAGGTTTGGTGCGTGTCCTGGGTCAGGCCTGCTGTTGGATCTCTTTGAGCCCCAGCGAGAGTCTTTTTAAATCTCTGAACTAAGCTTGTTTCTTCCCCATTGCTAAACAAGCTACTTTCACTAAATAAATGTAAGAGAATATGGGATGAGACTCCAGTTCTTGGGAAATGTCTGTTTTTCCCTCTGAAAATGCAAAGGGAAGCTGTGGAGGTGTGAGCCCACCTCCTTTTGTTGTTGGAGAATAGCATCAAGAAGTAATTTGGCGGGTCCCGAGCGATAGCACTGCGGGTAGGGCGCTTGTTTGCCTTGCACACAGCCGACCCGGGTTCGATTCCCAGCATCCCATATTCTCCCCCAGGTACCACCAGGAGTAATTCATGAGTGCAGAAGTAATTAATGAATGCAGAATCAGGAGAAACCCCTGTGCATCACCGGGTGTGACCCAAAAAGAGATTTACCTTTCTTACATTTGTTATTTGCCTAATTATGAGCCTACCTGTGACATTATATGGGTTCAGCTAATACTTTAATAATTTAATAACTCCCTTTATTAAATAAACTACCCGATAGAGATCCTCATCCCACTGAGACCTAGTATCTGTGTTAGTGATCTTGTATAATCATGTGTCTTATTTTGAAAAAGATATATGCTGACTTTTTTAAATGTTTCATCTCTATTATATGTCTCATATTTTTGAAGATACGTCTTTTTTTTCCCTATACTTATATTACCATAGTTAAATATTTTTTACTCTTTAAACACTTTCTTTCATCCTCCACATGTACTAGCTGCCAGTCTCCTCTGTCTTGGAGAATGGTCAGGTGTTCCCAATAATTAACCCTTAAGGGTTTTGCAGTTTATTTGCTAAACAGTGATATTTACATTTATCTTTGTTTCTGAAGAACTTAAGCTTTCTCATTTTCTTGCCAAGTCATTTCCGGACCCACCCCCTGCTTTTTCCTTACTATAGTTGCTACCTACGCTGCTGTCTAGAAAGATCACTTCATCACTTAACTTCTCATTAGTCGTCGATTTGCTCGAGTGGGCGCCAATAACGTCTCCATTTGTCCCTGTCGCGTGCTAGTGTAGCCCAATGGCATCTGTTCGCTCTGGGAACATGAAGAGCCTCAAACCTATCGCTCATGATCTTGACGAAGAAGTCTGACCATCTGGTAGGTGGGCGGCCACGCAGTCTTTTGACATCCCGTGGAATCCAGTGGGTAACAGCTCTAGTCCAGTGGTCGTCTTTAAATCTCATTACGTGACCAGCCCATCTGATTTTTGACACCTTGGCAAATGAGACAGCATCCTTGATTCTTGATAGTCGACGGATGTCGCAACTCCGGATTCTTTCTCTCATTTGAGTGAAACGTGATATTCCAAGCATAGCTCTTTCTATTCTTCTTTGGGAGATCTGAATAGCGTTCTCATCCTGTTTGCGTAGGGCCCAGGTCTCTGAGGCATATGTTAATGCAGGAAGAACAGTGGAATCAAAGAGATGTGCCCGGAGCCGGAGGTTCTTCGTCCTCTTAGCTATTTCTTCGACGTTCTTGAAGGTGTTCCAAGCCGCTCTCTTCCTCCTGCGCAGCTCGGGTGCCAGGTCATTTGTCATGTTGACTTCTCGACCTAGGTACACATAGCTGTTGCATTCGGAGATGGTCGTTCCATTGAGAGCGAATGGGGCGTCAGGAACGAGGCTGTTTCTCATAAACATTGTCTTCGTAAGATTCAGCTGTAGTCCTACCTTTCCACACTCACGGTCAAAGTCGGCCAGCATTTGTGCCGCTTGGCTGATGTTTGGTGTTATTAAAACAATGTCTTCAGCAAAGCGGAGGTGGTGTAGTTGCCGACCATCTATCTTCACTCCCATTCCTTCCCATTCCAGTCGTCGCATGATGCTCTCGAGGGTGGCACTGAAGAGTTTCGGTGAAATGGTATCACCCTGCCGCACCCCTCTCTTGACATCAACGATCACTTCTTTGTAGAATGGTGAGATCCTGGTAGTGAATCCGCAGTACAGCTCACGGAGGATCTTGATGTATTGGGCTTGAATGCCCTGATTGGCTAGGGCTTCAATGACCGCTTCCATCTCAACAGAATCAAAGGCCTTCTTTAAATCAATGAACGTTAAACAGAGCGGCATCTTGAACTCCCGAGAAACCTCAATGAGCTTGGTTATCGTGTGGATATGGTCTAGAAAGATAACTTTTTTTTTTTTTTGGCTTTTTGGGTCACACCCGGCGATGCTCAGGGGTTACTCCTGGCTCATGCACTCAGGAATTACTCCTGGCGGTGCTCAGGGGACCATATGGGATGCTGGAAATCGAACCAGGGTCGGCCATGTTGGCTGCGTGCAAGGCAAACACCCTACCCTCTGTGCTATCGCTCCAGCACCGAAAGATAACTTTTTACGTGGAAGAATATATGAGATTTTCGTGGGATTGTATGCCCATAGCTTTTTGAGCAGAAAGAACTGTAGATGTTTATATTACCTCAGATAGACAGTCCTTCAAAAACTAGAAATTGAGCTCACATATGACCCTGCGATACCACTTCTGAGAATATATCCTGAGGATGCAGAAAAGCACAGTAGCAATGACATCTGTACCTATGTGTTCATTGCAGCACTGTTAACAATGGCCAAAATCTGGAAACAACCCAAGTGCCCTAGAACAGATGATTGGTTAAAGAAACTTTGGTACATCTACACCATGGAATACTGTGCAGCTCTCAGGAGAGATGAAGTCATGAACTTTGCTTATAAATGGATAGACGTGGAGAGTATCATACTAAGTGAAATGAGTCAAAGAGAGGGACAGACATAGAAGGAATTGCACTCATTTGTGGAGTATAAAACAACATAACATGAGGCTGACACCAAAGGACAGTAGATACACGGGACAGATAGATTGCTCCATAGCTGGAAGCCTGCCTCATGAGCAAAGGGGAGAGGGCAGCTGGAATAGAGAAGGGGTCGCTAAGAAAAAGATGGCTGGAGGAATTGGTCGGAATGGGAGATGTGTGCAGAAAGTAGATAAAGGACCAAACATGGTAACCTCTCATTGTCTGTATTGCAAACCATAATGCCCCAAAGTAGAGATTATGGGGAATCATATCTGTCATGGAGGCAGAGGGAGGGTGGGAAAGGGGACTTAAACTGGGGATATTGGTGGTGGGGAGTGTGCACTGGTGGAGGGATGGGTGTTTGATCATTGCATGATTGTAACCCAAACATGAAAGCTTATAACTATCTCACGGTGATTCAATAAAATTAATTTAAAAAAATGTAGATGTTTATATATAGCCTCAACCCAATGCAAAGCTGTTTTTCAGTTTATTTTCCTCAACTTAAACTGTGTCTTGAATTGAGAGATTCAAAATATTTTTAAATTCTAAAACAGCTAACATTACATTTTAAAACATTGTAAAAGTTTGCCTGGTTAAATTCTCTGTGTGAAAAATACTGGTATCTTCACACTAGGCTGGTATATAGCTATCATTCTTTTGTTTTTAGGCTAGTGTTCTAGCTTCCAGTTCTACGGCAGCAGCTGCTACGCTTTCTTTGGCCAATTCAGATGTCTCTCTGCTCAACTACCAGTCAGCTCTGTACCCATCATCTGCAGCACCGGTTCCTGGAGTTGCCCAGCAGAGTGTTTCTTTGCAGCCTGGGACCACCCAGATTTGCACACAGACAGACCCTTTCCAACAAACATTTATAGTGTGTCCACCTGCTTTTCAAAGTAAGTGGGAAAGCTTCTGTTTCGTTTGGTATTATGCTTTTTTTAAAAAAATATTTATCTAGTTGTTTGACCTTTGACATGTTCAAATTTTAATTCTGAGATAATGGAAGTTATTAATTAATGCTTTCTTGAACTGTCTGGTCATCAGGTTTCTTGCCAATTGAGTTCTTGAACTACCACATTTCTCTTATGAGCATGTCTTACAATATGCAAATTTATATACAACTTGAAAAAAGTTGGGAGCATATTGCTGAATACTAAAACCTTATTTACACTGTATCATATTTTAAAATAAAATTAGTTTCCAAATAACAGGTAATTTTATTCTAAATGTAAAAATCACATAAACCTTTTAAACCTCAAGTTAAAAAAATCAAGATCACTTTAATATTTATCTGCAAAAATTCAATATGTTAAGGTACTTGTATAGGAAGGCATTAAGATTATTTATTTAGCTTATGAATCTTATCCTTCCTACATACTTTTCTAAACAGAGGAATAGAATAGCTGAAGAAGGAGACCTTTGTATTGCTCTAAGATTTTAATTTTCACAATCCCATTCTTCATCGTTTTCTCTTTATCCTATAATCCATTTTGTCCCAGTTCTTTTTTTCCCCTGAAATCTGGGAAATGCGTGTTTATTGATCTGGTGAGGCATTTAAAAGGCTACATTATTGTAAGGATTTTTTAAAAATCCTTGACTTTCCCAAAGTCAAGGTCAATAACCTATGGACTAAAATGGGAGGAGTCTGGCTCTTTCTATCCTTTACATAGAAATAGGTAGCATTTTTAACTTTTTATTTCAGTTACTAATTGACTGTGACTCTTTTGTTTGTTTGGTTTCTGACAGAGTCGGAGCATGCAGAAGGAAAAGAGGGGCTAGGGGAGACTGAGAGATTCCCGGGAGGACAGGAGAGCGATAGCCAAGTAAACCAGGGAGGAACCGCAGGGAGAGCGGAGGAGCAGATTCAAAACCTGTAAATGCAAATGTAGCCTTAACATAGCAATTTATTTTCTGTGTACACTTCATAGTTGTTAATTCTATACTTTGGGTTACATATGTTGAGGGGTTTTCTGCTGAACTTAGAAGACTAGCCATCCCCTCCCCCTTTTAAAATGACTTTAATTGGAACAATTTTTTAATGTGGAATTCTGAAGTTCTTTGATTCTTCTCTGGCAACATTCAAGACATGAGACAGAAAAGCTTGAGTTCCTTTAACAGGAGTGGGGAATGTCTAGACCATGGGCCATATAAGGCCTGCAAGATCTTACAGTCTGACTGTGGTACACAATGGACAGACATGTATGTTTTCAGTCGGTTGCCCATGACCTGTCTGTGCTGTATTGTGAATGATGTTTTAAATATCCAAATGGCCCTTGGCAGGAAAATGGTTCCCCACCCCTGCCTTAACAAAAGAAACTTAAGAGGTAGAAGGGAAGAGGTCAGAAAACTTGTTTGGTATAATTAGGTAAGTATAAGCTTTGGAAATCTTATTTTTCATCCAGGAAGTCTAAATAACTTGGAAATAAGGAGAGCAAATTAAAAAATTTCCAATTGAGGGGCTGAAGTGATAGTATAGCATTTGGCTGTAGGACATTTCCTTGTGTGCCATTGACCCAGGTTGGATCCCTGGCATCCCATATGGTCCTCTGAGCGCTGCCAGGAGTAATTCCTGAGTGCAGAGCCGGGAGTGAGCCCTGAGCACAGCCAGGTGTGGCCCAAAAAACAATACAAAAATTTCGACATGAAAAGGAGTTTTGAAATTAAGATGATCTTGATGGTGATAACTAATAGGTATTAACTGTATGCCAGATAATGTTCTTAATGCTTATGTATGTATTAATTCACAACCAATCCTACAAAGCAGGTAATTTGATTAGCCCCAATTAAAAATGGATCACAGTTCCCTTATCTGTTCCAAAGTCTTTATGATTAATTAGTAGAAATGCGATTTCAACTCAGGCAGTGGGTTTTATGACCTGTGTATTAAATATTATTAGTACTACTTCTCAGTGTTTAAACTCAAATGGTTGCAAAGAGCTGGTCATTGATTTGCCAGCCACAGCCATATGGTGTTCTTTGCCCAACAGCCGCCTCTTTTCTTTCACCACCTGCTCTTCTACAAAATGCCTGTTCTGTGAAGAGGATATACCCTCAAACTAGACAGGTTTAGTTTTCTTCCCATAATTCTATGATTTTTTTAAAAATATAAGTGGCTATGTTTAAGAAAAGAAAGCAAAACTAGAGTTAGGGAGAACCTTCTAAAAGTGTTGTTTTATTAATTCTTTTAATTGTGGTCCCCTCAAAAGCAGTTTTAAAGGAGCTTGATTGCATAGGCTTAGTTCTAAATTACTGTAGCACTACTTATTTAAAGGAGTTACCTTTGTAGGTCAGTTCTATAAGTACTGCTTTTAGTTCTATTCCACTTGACTAAAATGGTTACACATTTTGCTTAGTTGTAACTATTGTATACTTTTGTCCCCTTTTACTTCCTCATCTTGAACCTCATACATAAACCTTTATAGTGAATGAAGTGTGTTTTTTCTGAATGTTGCCCCTTTACTTCCTAATAATGGTAGGAGGATGAGGATGTGATTAACTTGGATTTATCATTTGTTAATCTGGTATTACAGACAGAAATTTTAATGTTATCTCTCTTATTAGAAACAAAATTATAAATCTGGTATCTGAATTTGTTACCTTTTATGTAATACTTAAACTGCTACTTAAGTAGCACTTAAAAAAAATTACTGTTTTAATTCCTTTTCTAGTCTCTGTTACTTGTAAAATTTTCCTGGATTGTGTTGTCCTATATGAGTTTACTACTAAAATACATTAAATGATAGAAATGGAAAATTAGAACTTTTAATAAAAACAGTATTGTTTAGAATTTTGAGTTTATTTACTTAGAGCTATTTAGTAAGACTGAGAAATTAGAATTTAGGAGAAGTTACCAAAGAAGTATCCCAATTGAAATGTTTGTACCCTCACACAGCAATATAGTTAGCCTTATATATGAGGCCCTGGGCCATACACACGAAATAATAGTTAAAGAAATAAATGTATCCTTACTTACTTAGGAAAAATTGTAGGAGGGCTGGAGCTATAGTACAGCTGGTAGGGTGTTTGCCTTGCACACAGCCGACCCAGGTTCGATCCCAAGCATCCTATATGGTGCCCTGAGCACCTCCAGGAGTAATTCCTGAGTGCAGAGCAAGGAGTAACCCCTGTGCATTGCCGGGGGTGACCCAAAAAGAAAAAAAATTGTAGGTATTAGTGAATTAATGATATAAAACAACTTTTTTTTTAAAGAAAGCTCTGCAGAGTCTCGTCTTTTCTTCAGAATGAAATGTTTATATTTGTAGGAAACATTCAACATTTGTGTACAGAGCATAATAAATTGACATGGTCACTATTTTAAAGACAGCAAAAAGATCTTGGTTTTTATGACTTGAATGTCCAGTAGCCCACACAAGGGTTTTTTTTTTAACCTTTCAAAGATAAAAAGGAAAATATCAAAATAAGTAGGAAGAGTGAATTTTGTAAACCAAAATTATCTTTTAAATCTTTGATCCTAGGCATAATTTGATTTGCTGTGCTATTTATGAATAAAACATATGACTAATTTGTGAGTTAAATTTTATTGTTTGAGGAATAATAAAGTATTTCCTAAAAATATTCCAAACAGAAGAATAATTTTGATGAAAATTTGCTTTTTAAACTTTTCTTATCTAATGAGCCAAAAGTTGAGCTGGAGCGATAGCACAGCGGTAGGGCATTTGCCTTACAAGCAGCCAACATGGCCGACCCAAGTTCGATTCCTCTGCCCCTCTTGGAGAGCCCGGCAAGCTACTGAGAGTATCTCGCCCGCACGGCAGAGCCTGGCAAGCTACCCGTGATGTATTCGATATGCCAAACACAGTAACAACAAGTCTCACGATGGAGACGTTACTGGGCCGGCTCGAGCAAATTGATGAACAACGGGAGAACCGTGACCGTGACCGAATGAGCCAAAAGTTAATGATTATATTCAAAATTATACTTTAGTGTTTTGCATTTTAAAAATATTTGAGGTTTTCTCCCTCTCCCTCCCCAGTAGATTAAAGGGTGAATGTAACATAGTAAGTGAATATTTTTTCAATTGTTGCTTTTGACCTATTAATGTGCTATTAATGGAAATGGGATATATGTTGTGTTTTAAGTTTTATGGGATAAAAAGGAAATTAGAATTCCCTTTAACCAAATATATCTCCATTTATCTAACTTCAAGAGAAACCAAGTTTCTATTTTCTTAACTCCCATGATTTCTATAAAATTCCTTTGTCTTAAGTGTTTAGAACTAAAACCTGAATGGTGGCTTATTTGAACAGAAAAGCTAAAATCAACAGCAATATAAAGCAAAACAAAAACAGTATCCTTAGTCCTAGCCAAGCAATTTTCATTGTGTTATTTTCTGTAGCTGGACTACAAGCAACCACAAAACATTCTGGATTCCCTGTGAGGATGGATAATGCTGTGCCAATTGTCCCCCAGGCACCAGCAGCTCAGCCATTGCAGATACAGTCAGGAGTTCTTACACAGGTAAACGCCAGAGCAACTGGGGTACTCAATACTGCTGAAGCACTATTGAAAATCAGATTTTTGCCCTAGCAAGTGCTGTTTGCTTGACCCTAAGGTCTTTCTTGGTTATGATTCAGTGGACTTAAAATGAAACATCTGCATGGAACAGTGTATGTTCCTAATACTAGCACAACTGCCAGTATCTTTCTCAGATGTGTAGGTATAAAAAAAAAATCTGCATACACTGAGAAATTGTTTTCTGAGCCAATATGATCTTTTGTGGGATAAAATTAATTTATTTTGGTGTTCATAAAGATCCAGTACACAGATAATAACATTTCAATTCTAAAATAAGAGGTTCCCCTTTTGTTCCCATAGTATTCCTTTTGCTCACCCTTTCAAAAGTTATTAATCATGGTTGAAATGCTGGATCACATCAAGAAACCTCTTCAAGTTTAGAGGTTATTTTTCATTGTGGTTTGCCAAGCTGTAGGAAGCATTAAAGGTTTATACTTGTCATAAAACATAAAACTAATGTGGTCAAAATCATGAAGCATTTATATAAATGATATATACTATCTTTTTGGTTCCATATATAAAAATGTCTGAACAGGAACTTTTGAAATCCTAAAACCCTCTTCTGTGAGTAGGAAGAGGGAAAATCCTTAATACATACCCTATTGACTGTTTTTTATAGAACTGATCCTCTGAATCTGGTCCAAGAAGGATTCCTGTTTTTTGTTTTGTTTTGTTTTTTTGCTTTAGGTTATTGACACTTGACCTAATGGGTTTGTGCTGTGCAGAATATAAAAGGGAAGTTGTGTTTTAGGTGAAAAGAAATATGTTTATTATTGGCCATAACTTGGGGGGAATGAGAACCCTTCTGAATCCAGATAAGATGCCTCCGTGTTTGTTTCACTCACCTGCCTAATCTACGTTTCAGGGAAGCTGTACACCACTAATGGTAGCAACTCTCCACCCTCAAGTAGCCACCATCACACCGCAGTACGCGGTGCCCTTTACTCTGAGCTGCGCAGCCGGCCGGCCGGCGCTGGTTGAACAGACTGCCGCTGTACTGGTAATTCCCCTCACTTGATTGTGTTACTAACGGAGTTTCTTTGGTTTCCTTTTTATTTTCCCTGTTTGTTTTTATTTTCTTTTATTCTGGTTTTCTCATTTTGCCAAAAAAGTTTTGTTTTTTTGGTTTTTTTTTTTAAAATACTTAGTCTTTACAGAGGGCATGGAAGCATGTGCCGTCTTGTGGCTGTGTTCTTGCTACATCTTTAATGTCTCATTGTTTTCCTCCCCAACATTTGCTAAAGCACTGTTTGATTCTGATGTTCAGTGTGGTTCTGTAAGGAGCCAGATTCCTTGATTCTTTGCCAGCTTAGTGTGATAAGAGCTCTTGGGAAGGCCTGAGAAGAGCTTCTGCACTGTTGCCTGTTTTCTGCCCTGTCTTTCACCCTCTCTGATCCTTGAGAGTGAAGGAAGTGGCCTTTTTTGGCTCTGCTACTGGCACTTCTCAGATGGCCAAAATTTGAACTCATTGGCAAGTTAGCTTTCATATTTTGTTAGTTCCTAAAACTGCGTGTCAAAATGTTTAAGATGCTCTTATTTTATTCCTGTATCAGTTGGTAGTAACTTTTCTTTCACGAACACATAAAGATAACTCTTTTTGCCACTTGTGGTCACTGGTAATTTAAATGGTATCTTCCATTTAAAGATATTCCCTTTAGAATACTTTGAGGTCATATTTCATTTGTTGGTTGAAATTAAAGGCTTGTAAGAGATTATGGAGAAATTAATTAATTACTTTACAGATAGTCTTTATACAGAGGTGAAAATACGATGAAAAAACTTGATGTAAATGTAATTATTTTTGTTACTAAATGTCACAGTAACAAAGTAAGAGTACTAAATATGTCAGCAGCTATATTATTATGGGGCTTAAAGATAGGAAAAACAACAGAATTTTGAAGTATGTTTTAGGATATAGAATCTTAAGAGTGATATTGGATGTGTGTTAGTTTATTTGGGAGGACTTGAATTATTTATTAGACATCCAGCATTTTATTATTTGAAATTTAAAATTAGGTAAGCATTTTGAAAACCTAGTATCCTGTTGAATCCTGATATTTCTACATCTTTTAAAGAGGCTTTAAAATCTTTTGTTGTTTCTTAAAGGCTCATGTGGTGAAAACACGTGCAGAAACATACTTTGGTTGTTGGAATTTGTTCGTTTTCAGTTTAAAAGTCTTTGTCATCTCCACATTAATTGCATCTTAAACTCAAAACCTGCATACAAGGGAGTCAGATATATTCCCGCCTTGACTGACCCAAGCTAATGGCTTAACTCGCTCGCCTGTAGTCTCGAGGTTGGGATGTTAGTTGACGCTCCTCCTTTGCTGCTCCTCCTCAGTTTGCACTAGCCATTTGCTAAGCTTTGCATATTTTGTTCTTCTTCTGTCAAAACAGTTCGTCGCTTGGAACGCCAGATTTCTGCCTCACGTTGGAATGTTATTTCTTGCTCTGTATTAAACTACATGCTTTGTCTTGTGCAGGTGTTGGCTTATGGAAAGACGCATGGTGTGACTTAACATACTTCTCTTATTTTTGTTTTGTTTTGTTTTCAATTCTGCTTATGGTAGCAGACGTGTTTGCAGTTTCTCTGCTTTTGAAGGCTTCTTGTTTGGAACCAGTATTGTAACAAGTGGATCTGTTACTTGCAGAAATGTTTTTAAAACAGTGTGTTGATGATGGCCTTGCAGTTTGAAATTCTGGAAACAGAACCATATGTACCCAACACATTGTAGGTGATTTTACTGTAGAATTCAAGTTTTAAAAGGAAACTTTAAAATCTGTTCCCATTTTTTTCAGGAAAAAAAAAACAGAATTTCTGTAAAAAGTACAGAAAACATTTTTGTTGTTTTTTTTTTTTACAAGTGACATGGCTTTTAAAGACTTAAATTAAACTTTTTTTCTCATAGTAATTAGCTTATATGTTTTTATAAATAATACATAGGGCAATATATTTTAAATAATAAAATATGCTTTTTGTTGTCGAATATTTTACTCATTGGCTTATTTTAAAATTTTGTGATGACTATAAAGAATGACATTAGTTTGCTTTTTCTTGCTGGCATAAGCTTGTTTGCCAAATGATTTTTGTCTTGGTCATCCATATCTGGCACTATGTTCCAAGCATTACTCTCTTAAAATGGAACTGTTCTCCCCTTTGTTTAATGACTGGATTGACCTGGTGTCATATCTGAATGGCATTTAAATTTAAAGGTTCCTATTTTTAATATCATGGGAGCTTTCTTTTTTCAGGAATATATTTTAGAGTCTTTGCAAAAATGACATTCCAGCACTTAACCAGAGCTTACCTTTGAACTTCTAAGCTCCTTTCCTATATAGTATGATAGACATTTTAACCACTAAGATGGATCTTCTTTTCTTTACTATCCTGGTGGTCAGGTTATAGAGGTGGCCAAGAAAAAGCACTGTGTTCTGTTTCCCTGTTCATGAGACTTTAACCTTGAGCCCCTCTGACCTTTCTTTTTCAATCTCTGCAAGTTAACAATCTACAAGAAACTTCTTTTGAGATACGAATTTTCGTTCATCTGGAATACGGAAGAAAAAGTCAAGAATGAGTCAAGTCTGGGTCTTTTTTTTGTGTGTTTCCTTACAGCAGGCTTGGCCTGGGGGAACCCAGCAAATTCTCCTGCCTTCAACTTGGCAACAGTTGCCTGGAGTAGCTCTGCACAACTCTGTCCAGCCTACAGCAGTGATTCCAGAGGCCATAGGCAGTGGCCAGCAGCTCACAGACTGGAGGCAAGTGCCCTGTGTCCCTCTGAGGGAGATTTGCAAGGGTTCAGATCCCTTAGGGTAGGAGCTCTTGATGGTTTGGTGAGACTGGGAAGAACATGGGATTTATCTTTGTTTGAAATCCTATCAGACTAAGAGGTGAAGTTAAAAGGAAATTTCAAATAGGAGTATGTAGTGAAAACCTGAAACCTTGATATCCAGTGATCCACTTGTGAAGATAAAAACAACTGCTTTTGGTTGGTTGTTGTAATTACTTTTTAAATTTATATTTGGTCCAGATTTCTCAGTGTTTGGGGCATTCCTTCATTCCTTCTCCATTCTTTTGTTGCTATAGGAATGCCCACTCTCATGGGAACCAGTATAGCACGATCATGCAGCAGCCGTCCTTGCTCACGAACCACGTGACACTGGCCACTGCTCAGCCCCTGAATGTTGGTGTTGCCCATGTGGTCAGACAGCAGCAATCCAGCTCCCTCCCTTCCAAGAAGAACAAGCAGTCTGCTCCAATCTCTTCGAAGTAAGTCTCTGCCATAACTGACCGTTACTGTGCCTCTGGGAGGTAGTTGTTGCTGGCATTTAGAATGTCATAGTCTGGATATGTTCAGTAGAGGCAGAATAAGTAACAGCTAAACTGAAGTATATACTCTCACCTTTCCACTTAGACCTGCATACCAGATTTGTCCTGGTCGTGTTAGTCCTTGCTGCTTGCTCCCACTTTGAATTTGGAAATTCAACCAAGGCATACAAAATAAAATTGATGTTGGACTTTGGTGCTCTTTATTTCTTGAAACCTTCAATAGAGGAGCTTATATTTTATTGAACTATTATAGTTAGCTTCTATAGCTTGCTACAGTAATTAAGTGAAAAAAGAGCAAGTTAAAAAGAGTTTTGGATAGTTGGGCAGGCGTGTGGGAATTGGGGGGGAACAGCATCCCTTGAATAGTCTTTCTTAGGACTTTTCCTTGCAGGTCCTCTCTGGATGTCCTGCCTTCTCAAGTCTATTCGTTGGTTGGAAGCAGTCCCCTCCGGTCCACATCTTCTTACAATTCCTTAGTCCCTGTCCAAGATCAGCATCAGCCAATCATCATTCCGGATACTCCCAGCCCTCCTGTAAGTGTTATTACTATCCGTAGTGACACAGATGAGGAAGAGGACAACAAATACAAGCCTAATAGGTAAGATAAATGTGTGGTTTCTTGCCTTAGAGACCCCCATCCTTGACTTCAGATAGTGGACTTTAACCCCTGAGCGTAATTGACCTTGAGTAACTCCTGAATGTCACTGGGTGTGGGCCCCCTCCCCCCAAAGAAAAGAGTGAAACTATATAATCATCAGGATTGTTTTGCTTAGAACAATGTCTGTTAAAAAAAGTAGAATAAAATTCTGCCATTGAGGGTAAGGGAGTGAACACGCTTTCCATGTAGAAGACTTGGATTTAATTCCTGGTCTTTGAAGTTCTCCCAAGTATGGTCCCAAAACCAAAAAAGAGAAAAAGAATTTTTAAAAACTTTACAAAATTAGTAAGGTGGGGATAGTGAATCTTGTCCAGTTAGGCCAGTGGTTTAATTGGAGATCCAGAGGATGCTGGAAGTTATCTGGGCCACCTTGGCAGGGCTTCGGGGCCTCCAGGGATGCACTTGAATCATGCTTGGGGTACCATGTGATGTCAGGAATTGAACTTGGGTTGCTGCGTGCAGGGCATGTGCCTTTACTCCTATATTCTGGCACCTGAGAATACTCTTTTAAATTACTATTTTTTTTAATATTACATTTTTTCAGGGGTGAGTGTGTGTGTGAGTGTGTGTGTGTGTTTGAGAGAGAGAGATTGATTCTTGGTGGTTTAGCATGTGTGTGTGAATATTTTCAGGATTTAGCGTGTGTGTATGCATGATATGTTTGGGGCTTTAGCATGTGTGTGTGTGTGAGAGAGAGACAGAGACAGAGAGAGAGAGAGAGAGAGGAATTGTAATTTGGGTTGGCTAGCTGTTCTGGCTCTTTTCACTATTTCCCTATAATATCACATTTTACCATAGTTGCAGTGCCACCCCTCATTAAAAAGCCCCTGATACTCAAGCCTCTCTGTTTCACTGAGTCTAGTTCTTCGGTGACCATTTGTGAGTTTTTTAGTAAGATTGTACATATGACTGAAATAATTGGTAACTTCCTTTCTCATTTCACTTCTCATAATCACCTCAAGTTCTATCTACTTCTGTCTCAGAAGGTCTGATTTCATCCCTTCCCCGCATTTTGGCCAAACGCAGCATTCATTCCAGCCCTTTGAGCCATCTTGCTGCCCTGATTTAATTTTATTTTAAAGCAATAATTGTTTATGTATCATGAATACAATTTATTTTTAATTTCAGTTTTTCGACCATATTCCACTGGTACTTGAGGACTGCTCTTGACTGTGTGCTAAAGAGTCACTCCTGGCTGTGCTTGGGTGCTGGTTCTTGAATCAGTGTCACCCATATGCAAAGCCTTACCCCGTACTATCTCTCTGACGCCATTGTTATTTTATTTTTGCCTGAAGGAAATTTGAAACAAAACAAGTTTGAATAGGTATAATAATTAAGAACTATTTATAGCCCAGTAGGGCAATATGAAATATGAAAAATATGAAAAATATATAGTACTTGAGGGCAGGAGATGTTCCTCAAATAGTAGAGCACAAGCCTTGCATAGTCAAGGACTTCGGTTCTATCTTCAGTACCACTTGGCACCCTAATGCTAGGTGTGCTGCCCCATGCCCCGGGGGTGGTTGAAGAATGTCATGAAATAACTGAATGACAGTAGCTAAGAGGCAGTAGAGAATAGAGGTGCATCTGGAGTCATTTTTCCTGGGCTTGAATCCTGTGTTAACTGCTTAGTATTTGTGTGACTTTAGGCAGGCACCTTAGTCTCCTAGTGCTGTAGTAGTCTCATTTGCAGAATAGGGAGAATAAATAGTACCTACATCGTAGACGTGTCAATGAAATTCCTGAGATACATGTAGAACACAAGAATAGCCCCTTACTAGCACAGTACTGTAAAACACTGGACAAAAACTTAACTGAAAAAATAAAAGCACCTCTTTTAAAAGCAGACTGTTGGGTGGGGGACAAATGGAGTGACAGGGCATTGGTGGAGGGACTTGGACACTGGTGAAGGGATCATGTTGAAACATTGTATACCTGAAACCTAATCATGGATAACTTTCTAAGTTCATGGTGACTGAATTAAAACAATTTGTTTTTTAAAAGAGCAGTGCCTGGGGTAGGAGTGATAGTACAGTGGATGGAACAGGTGCTTGCCTTACAGCCGACCTGGGTCTTTAGTCCCCAGCACCATCCTCTGATCCCACCAGGAGTAATCCCTGAGCACAGAGCAGGAGTAATCCCTGAGCACCACCAGTTGTAGCCCCTCCCCCCCACCCCAAGAATACAAATAACAACAAAAAAAGAAGTGCCTTTGGGCTAGAGAGGTAGGACATCCTTCACCCATATTTGATCCCCAGTACCTCATGTGGTCCCCTGAGCAGCCCTGCCAAGAGTGATTCCTGAACACAGCCAGAAGAAAGCCCTGAGTACCCCTGGGTTTGGGTCAGGTGACTCCCCCACCTCCCCAAAAAAAGACTTTGTTTATAATAGGAACTCAGACATTTGTTACTGTTACTTAGTTTTAAATTCAAAACATTTTTAGTTTCTTTTTTAAAAATTAACTTATGCAGTGACTTACTTTACAATAGCTTTCAGGTTGTTAATTTTGTAGTCGCAGAATCACTACACCCTACCTCCACTAGTGATTCAGATCCCTTCACCATTGTCCCACTGTCCCTCCTCCCTGTCCCCGAGAATCTCCTCAGCCTCCAGTTCTATTGATCATGCCTTAGAATTTCTTTCCATTAGAAAATTGTCTGATACGTTTGTTCCTTTAAAGTCCACATGTGAGGTCAACAGATACTTATCTTTTGCTTTCTGACTTTCCAGTTCCATCCCAGTTTTAACAGACTGCAAAGTCTCATCTCTCCTCCCAGCTGAATAGTATTCCCTTGTGTATGTAGTGTAGTCTCCTTGTCCACTCATGTGTTGTTGGGCACTTGGATTGTTTCCAGATCTTGACCATCAGTGAACTTTGGTGTGCTCGTGTCTTTTCAGATTAGTGTTTTTGCATTCTTGGGGTAGATTTCCAGGAGTCGAATCATATATGGAAGTACTTTTTTGTTGTTTTGCTTTTTGGGTCACAATTGGCAATGCCTAAGGGTTGGTTACTCCTGGCTCTGCACTCAGGAATAACTCCTGGTGGTGCTCGGGGGACTGTATGGGATGCTGGGGATCAAATCTGGGTTGACCATGTGCAAGGCTTTACCCACTGTACTAGTGCTCTGGCTCCTATGGAAGTTCTTTCATATGTTGTGCAGAGTCTCCAGGTGTTTGCTTTAAGAGGCTAAACCATGTAGCAGTCCCAGCAATAGCGAGTGAGAGTTCTTTTTCACAACACTTCCACTGAAACTTGCTGTCCAGTCCAGTCTTTGTGAAATAGACTGTTCTGACTGGTGTGACTGATATCTCATTTTTTTTTAACTTGCATTTCACTGATAGTGATGATAAGCATTTTTTCATAAGAACATTTTTTATCAGTCATTGTTACCATGGGAGGACTAGAGACTGTTAAAGAAACACTTCTGAAAGGGTACTGAATTTTCCTGTATTTTCTTTTCAGCTCTGGCCTGAAGCCAAGGTCCAATGTCATCAGTTATGTCACTGTCAATGATTCTCCGGACTCTGACTCTTCATTGAGCAGCCCTTATTCCACGGATAACCTGAGTGCGCTCCGGGGCAACAATGGCCCGGGGGCGGAGGGGCCCAGCAGCAGAGTCGGGGATGGCACTAGCACCCGTACCATCATTGTGCCTCCACTGAAAACTCAGCTTGGCGACTGCACTGTAGCAACCCAGGCCTCAGGTGATGTTTGTGCAGTGAGAGTGGAATCCTTGGATGTGTGTGTGCTTTCTGCTTTGCTGGGATCCGCTTGTGGCAGCATCCTGTGGAACAGCTATCTTAGTTCATTTAGAAATTAATTTCTTGTGATAGGAAGTTATGTTTGGCCATCAGCTTATCTTCCTATGTTCATTTTACTTGAATTGGCATAAAAATTTTTCTTTTTAGATATATTCATGTTTGTGGTAGAGCTGATGGTCAAGATATACATTATATAAAGGGAGAATTAATCTTCATTTGCCACTGATTCAGATTTCACATTCTAGATGTGGACATGACAATAATTTTCCAGAAAGTTGTACTTTTGGGAGAAACGTATAGTTTGCATGTTTTTTCACCCAATGTCAATGCATCTGTGTTTTTTGTTCATCTTACTATCAGACTAAATAACACCACCTTTATTGTGTGGTAGAGACTGGGCCTAGACTCCCAGGCTCAGTCACTATTATTAGGTGGACAGCATTCACTGCAGCAGCAGGCCTCCGATTCCCAGGGCTTAACAAGTGAAGTTGGTTTCTTACTTCAGTGACTTGCAGTGCAATGCTCCTGCTTGGAGGGTTTGCAGTGTATGGGTCAGAACTATTGTCATTTCTTTACTGTTACATAAAAGTCTAGGCTCTATGAGAATATGGGCTGTCTTAAATATACAGAATTTGTGTTTCAAGTGGTTCCTTTGCACTTGACAGATTATGATAATATTTGTTGAAATGGAACTTTTGAGGTTCCTTTATGGAGCTTTGTGTCAAGACAGAAAAATAATTTTCTGTCAAAAAATAATGCATTTTCTGTTTTTCTGGCATAAATGTGATTGAAAAAATAAGGTAAAGGTAAAGGTAAAGGCCCTCCCGTTGATCGTCGATTTGCTCAAGCGGGCCCAGTAACGTCTCCATTGGAGACTTTGTTGTTACTGTGTCTGGCATATCGAATACTCTCGATAGCTTGCCGGGCTCTCCGAAAAAATAAGATTCTCATGAAATCTTAAGTCTTGTGTACCGCATGAAAATGTGACCTAATGTGGTTGATTCCATGTGAGGTTTCCTATGGTCTAGATATCACTCATCACTAATTAAGCCCTTGTCCTTGTTTAGGCCTCCTGAGCAGTAAGACCAAGCCAGTGGCCTCAGTGAGTGGACAGTCATCTGGATGTTGTATCACCCCCACAGGGTACCGAACACAACGTGGGGGGACCAGCACAGCGCAGCCACTCAACCTTAGCCAGGTAAGAGCTAGGGGCTGCTGTCTTCCAGTTGGGGTCCCCCCTGCTGTTCCTCTCTGGAGAACCCTGCTTCTGGTCGGACGGCTGAATAAAGTCAGATGAAGCCTTTGTATCAAGCAGTTTTTGTAGCCTGCGTCATATCTGCATATTTTCTTTTCTTCTACTGAGTATGTTTAGTTAGTATTGACCTCCCATGTTTTCTGCCAGAATGCCCTGATCTATTTTGGAAGATGAGAGAACGTCTGGAATTTGGAAAGAACCTAGGATGCTTACATCTGTACCTGGCTCTCGACGTACTTTTGAGACTAGATTCTCTTCCTTTATCTCCCAGGTCATAAATAATGTGAACTTAAATGTTTACTTTACTTGAGACAGTGAAAAACTTTGTGGCCACTTAGCTGATTGTAGTTCTCCATGTTGCTTGAATGTGGAGCTTTTCCCTCCACCTAATCCTTTGATGGACTGTGGAGGGTCACTGTGTTTTTGTTTTAGTTTCGGGGCCACACCCGGGCTTGCTCCTGGCTCTGCGCTCAGGAATCACTCCAGGTAGTACTTAGGGGACCATATGGGTTGCAAGGGATTGAACCTGGGCCAGTTGCTTGCCAGACCTGCTGCACTGTCGCTCCAGCCCCAAGGTTACTGTTTTTTGTGTTCATTTTTTTTTTCCTCAGCTAAGTTTGTCTTATCTGTCCTCCAGTATTTCAAAAAGTGTAAAGATGAGGGTATGAGAGAGAGAGAGAGAGAGAGAGAGAGAGAGAGAGAGAGAGAGAGAGAGAGAGAGAAGAGAGTACAGAGAAAGAGAATATGTGTCATGTGCAAAAGAGAGAACAAGAATGAGAGAGAATGCAAGTGCAAATGGAAGTTCAAGTTAACACTTGTGTTTTAGTCTCCACATTTCCAGAGGGATATGAAGGAAGCATCAGCAGGCAAGAAAGGTTAGGACAGATCCCTAATCACTGACTGCCAGAACAGGGTGAAGTTGAGTCAATAGCCCTAAGTTGCAGGTGTGGGTAAACCTATGAACCCTGTATTCCAGCTCCCCGCTCTGCTCTTGTTGTACCTGTGCACACTTCAGACCAGACTGCTGGTATCTGGGTGAGGACTGGGTTAGGATCTGTTCTGCCAGGGGGCAGAGGGCTGGCTGGCTGACTTCTGACAGCATTTCCAGTCTGGCAGGTTGTGTGCTGTGGCAGCCCAGAAGTAGGACAAGTTCTAACCTCTGCTGTCAAGTTGGTATTTGGTGCTCCGAGCTTAGAGTGGCCTCAGGATTCCTCACTCCCTTCTTCCTTCTTCCAGAACCAGCAGTCATCGGCAGCTCCCACCTCCCAGGAGAGAAGCAGCAACCCCGCTCCCCGCAGGCAGCAGGCGTTTGTCGCCCCGCTCTCCCAGGCCCCCTATGCCTTCCAGCACGGCAGCCCCCTGCACTCGACAGGCCACCCACACCTGGCCCCGGCCCCTGCTCACCTGTCCAGCCAGCCTCACCTGTACACGTACGCTGCTCCCACCTCCGCAGCTGCACTGGGCTCCACCAACTCCATTGCTCATCTCTTCTCCCCCCAGGGCTCCTCACGGCATGCTGCGGCCTACACCACACACCCCAGCACGCTGGTGCACCAGGTCCCCGTCAGTGTTGGGCCCAGCCTCCTCACTTCTGCCAGCGTGGCCCCCGCTCAGTACCAACACCAGTTTGCCACCCAGTCCTACATTGGGTCTTCCCGAGGCTCAACAATTTACACTGGATACCCGCTGAGTCCCACCAAGATCAGCCAATATTCCTACTTGTAGTGGCGCGTGTGAGGAAGGAAGGCCCTGCTTGCCTGCCCTAGCCTGAGTCGTAAACACCTCGGCTGCACTCCTCCCTGGCCCTCTGGAACTCCGGCAGCTCAGTCTGCAGGGTGCGCTCATGCCAATCCTTCTCTGGGGAGCCATGTCAGTGTTGACTGCATTGTTGTAGTCTGCAAAAGTCTGTCCTGTTTTTTAATTTTTTTATTTTTGTGACAGCGTTTTTGGTATTTGGAAGAATTCAGATGTCCATCTTCTGCAGTTGCTAAGGAAGAGAAATGGTTCTGAAGTTACCTTCTGAAAAATAATAACATTGAAAAATATTTTGTGTCTCTGACTTGATTTCTATAACTGCTTTTAAAAAACGAGCTCTTTTGAAAATTTAACTTTTGTTTCTTAGAATTGCTGGTCAGAGGGAAAATGTTGATAGAAGTTGGACTTGAAATCTGGACAAGCAAGAATTACTACTTTTCTTTTAAATTAAAAAATTAAAAATTTGCCATTTTGTTTTATAGGCCTCTTGAGCAAGTCTGTATTTACTATCAGGCATTTCTCCTCAAAATTTTACCTTTGTTTATAGGACATTTAAACTTTCAGTGTGTTTATTTTGTTTTCATGTCACATTAAACTTAATGGGAAATTGCTATTGTTGTAAACTGGTTACATACTACTCTGAGTTGCTGTTGGGATTCTTTCGTTTTTATTCTAAAGTAGTGTTGAAAAGGCAGCTCACCAGTGGCTGATGTTCTTAGTGTGAGAGATTGAATGTGTCAGGTATTCTTGTTAGATGAAGCACCAGTGCAGTCTTTTAAGATTATACTTTAAAGACCCTTCTCTCTCTGATTCAGTTTAAATTTTATTCTTGGAAAAGCTGTTAAGGTGGTTATTATTGTGTGGTGGTGATGGTTTTATTATATGCAAAATCTCTGTATTATGTGATACTGGCATTGATGAGCTTTGCCTACAGATTAGTATGAAATTTCAGTAATACACCTCTCTTTCTCTCTCTCTTTTTCTCTTTATCTCTTTCTCCTCGCCTCTCTCTGCATCATCTCTCTCTCTCTCTCTCTCTCTCTCTCTCTCTCTCTCTGTGTTCTGTGTGATTTATTTGGGGAGAAAGCTAAGAATCTGAAACCAGATAAGAACGTTATTGTGTATAGCTTTTATACTTTAAAGTAGCTTCGTTTGTATGCCAGCAGCAAATTGAATGCTCTCTTATTAAGACTCATACAATAAGTGCATGTAGGAATTGCAAAAAAATATTTTAAAAATTTATTACTGAATTTAAAATATTTTAGAAGTTTTGTAATGGTGGTGTTTTAATATTTTGCATAATTAAATATGTACATATTGATTAGAAACTATAACAAGCAATTTTTTTTCTGCTAACCCCAAATGTTATTTGTAATCAAATGTGTAGTGATTACACTTGAATTGTGTATTTAGTGTGTATCTGATCCTCCAGTGTTACCCAGGAGATAGAATTGATGTCTCCATTGTATTTAAACCAAAATGAACTGATACTCGTTGGAATGTATGTGAACTAATTGCAGTTATATTAGCGCATTGTTACTGTAGTGCTGAGTGAGCAGGGGCATTGCCTGCAAGGAGAGCAGACCCTTGGGCTTGTTTTGCACAGGTGTGTCTGGTGAGGAGTTGTTCGTGTGTGTCTCTTCCTTCCCTCCCTCCCTTCCCTTATTGTAGTGCCTTATATGATAACGTAGTGGTTAATAGAGTTTACAGTGAGCTTGCCTTAGGATGGACCAGCAAGCCCCCGTGGACCCTCTGCTGTTCACTGGGATTTACCAGAGCAGGATTAGTAGCCGTGTTGTGTAAATACATTGTTCTCAGTTTCCCTGCTGGCATTGGAAAATACAAACAGCATTTTTCTCCTTTACTGCCCCTTTCCATGTTGGAATCCTAGCAGAAGTTCTCACAGAAGCATCTTCCCTTTGTGGCCCTCTCACTGTGCATTGCTACCTTGCTTCTGTGAGAATTCAGAAAGCAGGTGAGAGGAGTCAAGCCAATAGTATGTCTGCATTTTTTCTTTTTTAAAGTATGTGCAATCACTTAGAATGAGAGGGTTTTTTTCTTTCTCCCTTTTCCTGTGTGGTAGTTCTTCCTGCAAATAGTTGACATTCCTAGTGAAATATTTACTTGTTGAAAAAAGATAAACAGATGTGTTTATACCAAAGAGCCTGTTGTATTGCTTACCACATCCCCATGCTACAAGGAGTTGTTTTGTGATGCCGCTGGTGACAGAGAACTCACAGAAAAGTTTCTCTGCTGGTGAAGATGAGAAGGACCCAAAGCCCACTGAGGCGTTGGGCATTTGTGGTTTCTAACAACTATATTCTTGGGGCCCTTCAGCTGTGAAATTGTCCTTGTACTCTTGGCTTCTGCACGGATCTGGGTCAAATAGAGGGTACTGGGGGCGGGATTTATGTCCCTGCCACTAAGAGACTCGGGAAGAAGGCAAACCCTAAGATACTGGTGTGTTCCATCAGAATTGAAAATGTCGTCTTGAGGGGTAAGTCTAGGACTGGTTCTTTGTGGAGATGGTGTCAAGGAGGTGCAGGATGGAGATGGGAGATTTCCTGGAGCCTGGTCAGCACTGCACCAGGTGGAACCTCAAGGAGCTGTCAAGGGTTCGGAGTTTCTTCTTTGAAGCAGTAAGGACTGCCAGGGTGTGTGGGGGGTGGGGTGGGGGGCGGGCAGATGGTCAGTACAGCCTGCCAAGGACCTGTTGTATTTTCCAGATACTTTTCTTTTCCAATCATTATATTGAATTGTGTTTTGCAGAACTCTATTGGTCAAGATCCCTATGCAGTTTGTATGGTTTTTGTTACTAGTCAGCATGTGTGATCTCTCTGTCTCCTTTTTATGAAGCACATTCAGATTTCCTTGCTCAAAGGCAGATCTGATTTTTTAAAGAAAACATATTTTGTTCCTTATCATTCCTCTACAAGGAATAAGATTTGTTTTTTGTAAGAATGAGATGCAGGAAGAAAAAAAAATCAAACATTCCACTTGCCCCCTAATCCAGTGTCTACTTAAGATAGGAGTTTAAACTTAACACACTGAAAAGACAAAACCAAGAGCTATCACCTGACTAGTCGCATGCGAGAGTTTAGAAATTTTTCTGTTTTGGCCTGCAAATTGACATTTAAGATTTACTGTGATAAAAATCCTCCAGTGTCTGCTGAATGTGTACGAGCTCAGTGTGGCTTTCGATGCTGTCCCTGGAATATTGAACATTGCTGGCCATGACCGGATGGGAGAAGCCCTGGGAATTTAGTGAGCTGGTCCTGATCACAGTGAGGACTTAAGGCTTTAAGTCCTCTCTGAACTTGCATTTCCAGCTTCTCTCCTTGAGGGTGAGACAGAAAGTGGGGAAGGGTAAAGTACAGCCACTCCAGGCTCGTCGGGACACTTGATCCTCCAGAGTTTGGAATTGTTCCCAGGAGGTGCTACATTGCCGACAGAGCCCAGGAATAAGATTTCCAAACAATTCTAGCTATTCATCATCCTTCATCCTCCACTAGAGGGGCTAAGCTTGACTGCCCTTAGCCAGGCAAGCACCATAATGTATGTTTTATTCAGCAATATTATGCAAAACCCACTGGATGGTTTGTTTTCATATAGGAAATGAAATTGCCTCTCAGTGACTGGAATGGCCCAAGCCTGCTTCCTGTTTTGATTTTCTTTTCTTTTTTTTAAACTGATGGATGGTGCAGCATGTCTACATGGTTGTTTGTTGCTGAACTTTATATAATGTGTGGTTTTGATTCAGCTTGAAGAATAATTCACTACATGTAGCAGTACATTATATGTAATGTTAGTATTTCTGCTTTGAACCCTTGATATTGCAGTGAAGTTCCAACTTGATTAAATGTAATTTGATATGCTAGTTAATGTGTGTGATTTAAACATTTTTTAAATTTTCTTTTTTTTCTTTTCTGGTTGTGCGCTTCCTTTTACAACAAGCCTCTAGAAACAGTTTCTGAGAATTACTGAGCTATGTTTGTAATGCAGATGTACTTAGGGAGTATGTAAAATAATCATTTTAACAAAAAAATAATAGATATTTAAAATTTAATACTAACTATGGGAAAAGGGTCCATTGTGTAAAACATAGTTTATCTTTGGATTCAATGTTTGTCTTTGGTTTTACAAAGTAGCTTGTATTTTCAGTATTTTCTACATAATATGGTAAAATGTAGAGCAATTGCAATGCATCAATAAAATGGGTAAATTTTCTGATTTGTGTGCCTGTTTCTGACTTCTGTTATAGGGCGTTAACAGGATTGGCTTACTGGCATTTAGGGAGCAATTAAATACATTGCCCTTAGCACTGCCAAACCAAAAAAAAACAAAAAACAAAGATGCGTCTAAATGAGTGTTTCTCAGCCTTTTTCTGATCATGGCCTCTTTCTGACCTTGTTCCTTTCTCTGCCTCTCAGATTAACCCTCCCATCCCAGTCTCATCCTCAGCTCCCCATTAATATGATTTAACCCTGACCCTTTGGGGATGTATAGTGGGGCCTACAGAGAGCCCCATAGCGGGGTGGGAAATGCTGGTTTAGATTGATGACTGCAGACCTCTAAATAAATTTATTTGCTTCTTTTGACACGTGTTTCAGGCAGTTAATTCATCTGCAGTAGTGGCTGAAAAAGAAAAATGAGGAACATTTAGAAACATCCGTTGGACCAAGAGAAATGCCTCTTTTCTTCCATTAGATGGGAAGTCAAGATACATTAATTTGATTAAGACTATGGCAAACACTTTTCACTTTTTTTTTCCCCAAATAAAACGTGTAAGAGTATTCCTAGAAGTTTTTCTGGCAAAAGAAAGTGACAGGGATTTATTTCTAAATTATCAAGGATTTTTAATATTGTTATCTCAAGTATTTTCTTGGACACTAAACAGAAAGAGAATGAGATATTCCCTAAAGTAATTGAATTGTCTGGGGAATCTTTTAATGATGAGAAGAACCGTTGTAAATTTAATCTGCTTCGTTTGCAGTGAGGAAAGTTCTTTTTTTCAGGCAAGGGTTGAGGCCTGCATTTCCCAGTTAACCCTGAGAGCACAGAGGTACTGGTACTTAGCACGAGATGGCGCCAGTGAGCTGTAGAACGCGTTTCCCACAACCACAGTGGCCTTTACCCACCTTTCCCTGTTTTCTGCTTCCACTGAACCAGACACAAAGCAGTTTGTGATATTATTGCTGGGGAAAGGGCAGATTAACAGGCTATTTCTTAACTTGGTCTCAAGAAACCTAAAATAGAGAAGAGTTTACTAAGTTTTTTCTGGATTCTGTCTCTCCCAGCTCGCTCCTTCTCTGCCTGACAGCCCTGGCTTCTGCATTTCCTTCCCTCCTCTGGGGAGCCTGTAGCCTAGGCAGGAGGTGGTTAAGGCTTTCTGACTGTTCTGCAACAGGCCATCTGTGTTTGATCAGTCCAGGCGGAAAGGGCTGGGGGGTGGGGGAGGAGAGGAGGGCATTCCAGAGTAGTGAGAGAGCCCAGGGATCCAGAGGAGACTCCGCCTCCGGAGCTAACCAGGACCCAAGTGGCGGAGCCAGGGCTCGCTCCTCGTACTCTGGCCCTACTCTCTGCTGCCATGGCGCCTGGCACTCCTCTCCTGCTCTGCTTCCTTTTGTCCTGGACCGGTCCCCTTCGGGGACAGCAGCCCCACCTTGTGGAATACATGGAACGCCGCCTGGCTGCCTTAGAGGTGAGTGACGGCCGCCTCTAGGTCAGCGTGGGAGGATTCTCCGTCTCCTCTTGCCAAGCCCTCTTTTCTCCCTGCTCAGGCCGATTGAGGCATTCCAAAGCAGATGGGCGCGCTTGTTTTGGGCACCCCTCAGAGTGGGATGGAGAAAGGAAGAGTGGAAATGAGAGCTCAGGTGGTGAGGATGCATCTTGAAATGAGCTGATGACTCTTGTGAAGCTGAAGTTCCCAGAGAGTGCAACTTTCTGCCTTTTAAAAAAGTTTTTAAGTAGTGCTGGGAGTCAAACTCAGGCCCTGTGTGCAGGGCATGCTTTTCACCCTGAGCCACATCCCAGCCTTCTGAACGCTTAGCTATCCACCGCTCAGATGCCCAGGAGGTGAACTGTCCTAGAGTAGCGATCCTCTTCTACACCCTCTTGCCCTCAGACCCCCGAGAAACACCAAGGGCTCACTGAGAACACGCAGAGCATGCATCTTAAGACGAGAGACCTGGGGACTCAGCTGGGCTCTTGGCTCACTTTGGAGGGAACAGGGAAGTATGGCTGCATGGTGCTGGCGCCTGTTCCCACTCCCTGGCTGGGCCTCTCCTGCTAGGGTGTTGGAAGCCTCAGGCCTCCCGCCTGCCCCCCTCACCCCTGCAGGAGCGTCTGGCGCAGTGCCAGGACCAGACTAGTCGGCATGCAGCCGAGCTGCGAGACTTCAAGAACAAGATGGTCCCGCTGCTGGAGGTGGCTGAGAAGGAGCGGGAGGCGCTCCGGACCGAGGCTGACTCCATCTCGGGGCGGGTGGACCGTCTGGAACGGGAGGTGGACTACCTGGAGACCCAGAACCCCACTCTCCCCTGTGTCGAGGTGGATGAGAAGGGGACCGGAGGCCCAGGCACCAAAAGCAAGGGACGAAGAAATGAGAAGTATGACATGGTGACAGGTAACGGGATTTGAGAGCAGCCTTGGAACTCCCACCCGGGCGGCTTCTTGCCTTCCCACTTTCCCTCCTCATCCCAGTCCACATTGGCTCTAGCTTTGGGGATCTGTTGGGGAGAAGTTTCTGTCAGGTTCATGAAGGAGTCTCTGGGGATCCAGGCCTTTGTGGCACCCTTCCTCCTCCTGCCCTTCCCACCTTCTGTTCCCCAATGGCGCATTCCTGGTTTGGGACTGGGGGTTCGGTTAGGCACCTCATTCTCACCTGTGCTGGCTTTCCTGTGCTTTCCTCCCTCCCCACCAGACTGTGGCTATACCATCTCCCAGGTGAGATCCATGAAGATCCTAAAGCGGTTTGGTGGCCCCACGGGTCTGTGGACCAAGGATCCTCTGGGCCCGACAGAGAAGATCTTCGTGTTGGACGGGACCCACAATGACACAGTGTTCATCTTCCCGCGGCCACGGGACTTCACCCTGGCCATGGCTGCCCGGAAGGCTTCCCGGGTGCGGGTGCCCTTCCCCTGGGTGGGCACGGGCCAGCTGGTCTATGGTGGCTTTCTGTACTATGCCCGAAGGCCCCCTGGGGGACCAGGTGGGGGTGGTGAGGCGGAGAACACACTGCAACTCATCAAATTCCACCTGGCCAACCGCACGGTGGTGGATAGCTCCGTGTTCCCAGCCGAGGGCCTGATCCCCCCCTATGGGCTCTCAGCCAGCACCTACATCGACCTGGCAGCCGACGAGGAGGGCCTGTGGGCCGTCTATGCCACCCGAGAGGATGACAGGCACCTGTGTCTGGCCAAGCTAGACCCGCAGACGCTGGACACAGAGCAGCAGTGGGACACGCCCTGTCCCCGGGAGAACGCAGAGGCGGCCTTCGTCATCTGTGGGACTCTCTATGTTGTCTACAACACTCGCCCTGCCAGCCGGGCCCGTGTCCAGTGCTCCTTTGATGCCAGTGGCACCCTGAGCCCGGAAAGGGCAGCCCAGCCTTATTTCCCCCGGCGGTACGGGGCCCATGCCAGCCTCCGCTATAACCCTCGTGAGAGGCAGCTGTATGCCTGGGACGATGGCTATCAGATCCTCTACAAGCTGGAGATGACGAAGAAGGAGGAAGAGATTTGAAGAGCAAGCCTTGAGTTGTAGGGCTCTCTTGTCCACCCTGGTTTCCATCCCACTCAAGTGCCTGCTCTGCCACCTCTAAATGTTGGCCACCTGTGCTTCCAGTCCCCTTGTTTTAGTCAGTGGAAGCCAAAATCCTCATCTCCCTTCATCTCCTGGGGACCCTGTCAAGTTGTGACAGTTGGAAGGGAACAAATCTGAGATGCTGCCTCCTGTTCTGCCCGAGGTCAATGAGTTCAGGCCTGAGATTGAGAGCCCCAAGCCCTGACTGGGGGTGACCCCAGGGAATGGAAGAGTATGTCTTGTCTCATGAGTCTCAGGAGGTAGAGTGAAGCCGACTTTGAGCTCTGCCCTCACCTTCTCCCTGCAGAGCCCTGAGGAGCGGCATGCTGCCCACATCATTCTGTATGGAAACATTTCACATTAAACAGAAATCCATGGCTCCTCTCTTCCCTGTGTGTTGGGGGCAGGGGGTGGGGAACCCCCAGATCTCTCCCCTTGACTCTCGTCTCACTCCTCCACCCTCAGCCCTGAGCCCCATTAGCGGGGAGAGGGAATGTGTCCAGGCTGTGAGGCGCCGAGGGAAGCCCCAGATCCCGCCTGGCTCCTGGCACGTCCCCTCAGGCCTCAGGCCCTGGGCAGAGCCTCCAGCTTCAACCCAGCTCCTAGAGGGCTGCAAGCAGCAACCAGAGTTTCGCTTGTTCCCGCTGTGTGGTAATTCAAGCCTTTCAGGCTCATGTCGTTGGGACGATCTTCCTTCCCATCATCTCCCCGCCTTCTGTTCCCTGTTCCTGTCTCCTGGGCCAGGTTGCACAACTGTTGTCTGGACTGCTGTGGCTTTCTGCTGCCACAGTGTCTGCGGCTCGGGCCGGGAGGGGCAGTGACCCACCTCAGATGCTCTGACCAGCTTCCCATGTTCTTTCTCCTCTCACAGCCCCTACTCCCCACCCCAGTCCTGGAGCTGACGTCTATTCAGGCGCCTGGCGATTTAACCCTTCCTGGCCTGCTTTCTGAGTCCTGGGGTTTAAATTGCAGGACCATCCTGGGCAGAGACAGGACCCCAAGAGGCGAGTCTGCCCCTGACCTAAGCCCCCGTACTCAGGAGCACGTCTTACCCGATAGTCTCTCTTACCCGATAGTCACGGCCAGGGGTCCTCAGGCAGCAGGAGCCCTCGTGATGCTTTCCCCCTGGGGTGGGGGGGGGGGCGGTGGAGGGGAAAGGAACTGAGTCTTCCCCACCCAGCACCCCCAGCTAGGATGGAGTGAAGCAGTCAGGCTCTGTGATGCGCCTTTTGTCTTCCTTTTCTCAGCAGAGCTGCTCCTGACAGTAGGGTGATGGGGGAAAAGAAAGGCCCCTCACAAAGCCGAGGGCTGAGCCACTCCCCTCAGCTCTCTCCTAATGTGGGGCTGGCAGCAGTAATCACCGCCTGTCAGCGTGCTGGGGTCTGCCCACGGAACATCTGGTGTGAGGAGCGGGAGTCCCCCCCCCCCCAACTCTCCTGGAGGCCTGGAGAGAAGAGGGCGCGGGGCCTCCAGGGGGGCAGCATGCCCTGGAACGTGGGCACATGCTCTGCTTCTTCCCACTGACACTGCGTTGGCGTCAGGTAAGTGACTCGGGCTGGCTCGTCTAGGCTGCTGCCTGACAGCATGGCGCATTGGGAGCGACCTTCTGGTGGCTGAGGAGAGATGAGCGCCGGGCTCGGGATGTGTCACCGACACACAGCCAGCCAGGAGTGCGTATAAGTGCCCAGGATGTGACTGGGAGAGTGTGTGTGCTTTGCACTGAGACATTCCTGGCTCCATCCCTGCTCTGCCAACAAAACCCACAAGCCTGCTTTCTTTTGTCTTGTTTCTGGGCCACACCCAGCTGTGCTCAGGACATCCTCCTGGCTCTGTGCTCAGGAATCACTCCTGTGGGCTCAGGGACATTGTGTGTGAAAGAGTCTACAGCCATCCCACTCTGAATATGCCTGGCCTCAGCGGGAAGGGGCAGCCCAATCCCCCTTGCCCACTGCTGCTTGCAGCTCCTCTCTAGCTGATTCAAGCCTATAGTTTAGTCCCCCTGTAAATTCCTGGGCTCTTGGGCACTGGATAGTTTACGCTTTCTCAAGACCATACATTCTCACAGGAGACTAAGAGATAATGGACAGTAGCCAGGGAGATGGTGGAATAAATAATCTCAAAGACCCTAAATACATATAGGGTGTTAGTCTTATCTCAGTGACACAGATGGGCCCTAAATTAACAAAACTTCTCTGGGAAAGAAATGGAAATCTTCTCATACTTGGATAAGTAGCACAAAAACCCAGTTTTTCAGTAAAATCAGAAAAATGAGCCATACTTAGTCCTATACTAATTTCCTTCCTGCACAGCAAGTTTCTATTTTCCAATAAACTTTGCTATTTTCTAACTCTGGGTCTGAGCATTTTTATTACTCAGTATTATCAAGAACCTGGGAACTGTGCACAAGCACAGAGGTCCGCCCTCACTGCTTCTGCATCATGTGGCATCAGATTGGACCCATGTCAGCCATGTGGAAGGCAAGGGCTCTACCCACTGAACCATCATTCCAGTCCCCAAACCTGGTCATTTGCTTCCACTATGTGTGCCTACCTTGGTGGCATCTTTTGGGAGCCTGCTTCCTCTAGGAGAGAGTCTGGAGAAATAAGGGTCATGTGGGGGCCAGGGTTGGAAGGTGGGAAGGAAGAAGAAAGCAAGCTTAACATTGGGTAGTGGTGGTGGCAGGGAGTGGGGGAGTAGAGAGATAATATAGTGGTAAGGTGTTTGCCTTGCATGCAGCTGATCCAAGTTCAATCCTAACACCACATAGGGTTCCCTGAGCACCATCAGGAGTGATCTCTGAGCACTACTGAGTGTGGCTCCCAATTCTTCTGGCAGAAGGAGGCATAAAACTTTTTTGGAAAAGGTCACTTGGACTTTTCTGAAAGGGCAGAAAGCTCTGGGGCCTTGTTACTAGATTCCAGTTGCAAGTGCTGTTTTGGGAGAATTCTGGAAGGTGAGTGAAGTGCAGGCAGATCCTGTGAATCATCTGCATGCATTAGCCCAGACAACCCAAGGAGAACCTCAGGGGCCAACCTCTCTCCCGCAACAGCCTCCTTTCCTTTGCACTGAACCCCTCATAATGTAGGAACTCTGGCTTGGGTAGAACAGAAGGTTGACAGGAGACCAAAGGATAAGCAAAGGCCACCTTGAGGCCTGGGGGAGTCAGAGAAGCTGAAGCCCCCAAGAGAAGTGGCCATCTGCACACCTGGCTCTGGGGAGTAAGCAGCCTGGGAATGGGGGTGCTGGGAACTCCCGGAAGCAGGAGGGCTTTCCTGCTGTGGAGCCGGCTGGTCCTGCTGTCTGCCCCATGTGTTTCTCTGATGGGGTAGGCATGCCTTCAGGCGAGGGGACTTCCCAGGGTCTGCCCTAACTCCTGGGCTCTGATCTTTGTTTTCTTTTTAACTTTTTTATTGAGGTACTGATAATTTAAAATTGTTAATCACACTTTTTTGGTTAGTGTGTATGTGTGTGTGTGTGTGTGTGTGTGTATGTGTGCGTGTGTGCGTGTGTGCAGAGGGTGGAGTGGGGCCCACTCCCTGTGGATCTCAGGGCTTACTCCTGGCTCTGCTCAGGGATCACTCCTTGCAGTCTTGGGGGCCCATATGGGATGTTGGGATTCGAACCTAGCTTGGTCACATGCAAGGCAAGCGCCCTTCCTACAGTACTGTCTCGGGTCCCGTTAATCACACTTCATGGATAGGTTGGGTCCCAAGGTCCCTCCCAACCACCCTCACTCCCATGTAAGCTCAGTTCTAGATAAAATCTTCAGTACTGATGCTTTGTATATTGCTTACTGTTCCTCTTTTCATCCCACATATGGGAATTTTGCTTTTTGGTGTATTTCATGTTGTGTGCACCTATAAATGAGCAGATCTAAGTTCCTGAGATTCTGCAAAATTATAAATCAAAATTTGATCAAGTAAAATTCCTTTAAAAAATCGTTTACAACTTGATCACTTGACATCCCGTTACTCATTGATTTGCTCACGTGGGTGCCAGTAACGTCTCCATTCATCCCTGTTGCGTGCTAGTGTAGCCCAATGGCATCTGCTCATTCTAGGAATACGAACAGCCTCAAACCAATCGTTCAGGGTCTTGACGAAAAAGTCTGATCATTTCATATGTGGGCAGCCATGAGATCTTTTGGCGTCCCATGGAATCCATTCGGTAATGACTCTAGTCCAGTGGTCATCTCCAAATCTCATTACGTGTCCAGCCCATCTGATTTTTGATGCCTTGGCAAATGAGACAGCGTCCCTGATTCTTGATCATCAACAGAGGTTGGAACTCCAGATTCTTTCTCTCATTTGAGTGAAGCAGGTTACTCCAAGCATAGTTCTTTTGATTCCTCTTTGGGAGACCAGAATAGCGTTCTCATCCTGTTTGCGTAGGGCCCAGGTCTCTGAGGTGTATGTTAATTCAGGAAGAACAGTGGAATTGAAGAGATGTGTGCAGAGTGGGAGGTTCTTCATCCTCTTAGCTATTTCTTTTATGCTCTTGAAGGCATTCCAAGCCGCTTTCTTCCTCCTGTGCAACTCAGGTGCCAGGTCATTTGTCATGTTCTCGACCTAGGTACACCTAACTGTTGCATTCGGAGATGTTCATCCTGTTGAGAGTGAATGGAATGTCAGGAACGAGACTGTTTCTCATAAACATTGTCTTCGTGAAATTTAGCTGTAGTCTGACCTTTCCACACTCACGGTAGAAGTCGGCCAGCATTTATGCCGCTTGGCTAATGTTTGGTGTTATTACAACAATGTCATCAGTGAAACAAAGGTGGTAAGCTGCCGACCGTCTATCTTCACTCCCATTCCTTCCCATTTCAGTTGTCGCATGACATTTTTGAGGGTGGCATTGAAGAGTTTCAGTGAAATGGTATCACCCTGCCGAACCCCTCTCTTGAGGTCAATGGGTACCTCCCTGTAGAATGGTGAAATTCTGGTAGTGAATCCGTAATACAGCTCACAGAGGATCCTGATGTACTGAGTTTGAACACTCTGTTTGGCTAGGGCTTCGATGACAGTCTCAGCAGAATCAAAGGCCGGGACTCATACACAAGTGAAGCCCCATAGAACCAAGGAAGTGGGATTCTGTGACCTTGGACCAAGGCTCAACGGACACAGGAGCAGAGATCCTCTGCCTGCTCCCAGTAGCCCAGCAGACCTCCATTACCTCCACTACCTCCACTGCCCAGCCGCCGCCACGCTCCAGGATGTTTTCCAGACCACGCGGCCGACACATCATACAACACTTAATACAAGATTACCGCACCATATTTGATAGGGTTCGAATATGGTTTGAACAGCTTTTAGGGCTGTTAGAGGTCACCCTAAAAGTCTCTATCCCTCTCGGAGAGCCTGGCAGGCTACCGAGAATATCCCCCCCACACGGCAGAGCC